GTCTATCTTACAACTACGCGGTCATCACTGGAATACCTTGATTTGACAACGAACAGAAAAAAATCACTCATCATAAGCCCTTCTTCATCCAATACAATATAATTACAGTTATCCCAATCTCTGCGATGCCATAATCATGACAATCCGATCAAAACCCAACCGAAGACAATAACAACTACTATACAAGAAAAAAACATCAATATACACATAACAACAATAACATACTCTAGATCAAGGGTCAACAATCTACTACCCTAACATCTAAAATCAAGCGAAATAGTTATTTGTGTAACTAGTGAGCAAAAGCATTTTGCGCTCGTAGTGTTATATTATACTTTTCACACACTATATTTTTCCTACAATCACTATAAAGCATATAAATAATTAGTCTTTCAAACACTATACAACACGTTTTTTAGGCTAGCCTAGTTTAAACTCACGAATACTAGAAAAATACCGGTATGGATCATAAACATAAACAGATGACGTTGTTCGCCCGAATCCAATACTAATAGAATTGAACATATCTAGTAGGGTCTATTCGTGGTCGTGGTTAAACCCAAGCGTTGAACGGAATGGGAAACACTGCACCAGCTGATTGTAGTCGTAGTATCTGTTAGGTGTTAATTATTTCCAAGAATACACTTGTAAACAGTAATAATCAGTATAAACAGAATAAACAAGTAATTTTGTAACTTTCTTACTTACGCACCAAGAAGAAAATAGTTTGTATGCTCGTTCACACTTCTTTCTTGATTTTTCAGGAAACAGGTGAAAAATGCTTTACAGTTTCTGCTACCGATTTCTTCTGGTGTACACATATATTCACAATCACTGCGTTCATTATTCTCAAATGAAGGCCCATTTATAATTATCCTTTCAAATACTACACTTCAGGTTATTTTCAAACCAAGCGATTGACGAAAATAGAATATAAACACGAAATGACAGGATTTAAATCGTAGTATAAATAGCCAATCAGCTGATCATATTAATAGTATCTTTAAGTGTTGCCAACCTATTTCTAAGTGTACTCGGATACATGTATAATAAAACCACACTGTTTTGCGTTGTTTGGTAGAATACTGGTGTGCGCCAAAGTATAAACCGTGCGACAAAATACAAACGGTGCGACAAAGTAAGTAAATGCAGCAATTAGCAGCTTTCTGTACGATAATCAGTGCAAGGAAGCCAACTTTGTCGGGTGACTGCAGGGAAAAAACTTTTCCTACAGTCACCCGACAAAGTTGGCTTCCTTGTACTGTTTATAGTACAGAAAGCTGCTAATTGCTGCATATTTATACTTTGCCGTACGGTTTACACTTTGTCGTACGGTTTATACTTTGCCGCACATCAGGATTCCAACGAAACAACACAAAACAGCGTGGTTCTATTATGAACGTAATCCGTGTACGCTTGGAAATAAGTTGGCAACACTTAAAGATAATAATACTATGAGCAGCTGATTGACTATTATAACTACGATTTAACCTGTCATTTCGTGTTTATAGTTTCGGTATTTCTGTACTTTCTGGACTTTTCCTTTAAACGTTTTTAAAACACTCCTACGATCTTAATAAACAAGAAAATACCTTTAAAGCATTTTTTTAGGCGCGGAAACCACTACAAATTACAAAAACATACGGAACTATATTCTCAAAACGCGGAGCACATTTCTTGCCGAGGAAAAATAGCGGAGTGATACGGACCGGGTACTACCTTCTCTAGGGCACCTATTTGTGTTGCCAGCTGAACCTAAAAACGTGTTGTATAGTATTTGAAAGACTAATTATTTATATGCTTTATAGTGACTGTAGGAAAAATATAATGTGTAACACGAGCGCAAAAAGGCCTTTGCTGCACTCGAGATCATTCCTCTCGAGTGCAGTAAACATTGCTCTCGTGTGCAGCAAAGTGCCACTTTCACCACTAGTTACACAAATAACTATTGTAGACACAGATTAAAATTGTACCTATTAGATTGTGTAAAATTGGCTATTACATACACAACAAAAGAGTAAACTGGAGAACGCGCATTCCATAAAATACAACCAGAAGACCTAGAAGAAAGGAAGAAAATTAACGATTCGCCGATCGAATGGTCGTGACAAAGACATCAAAAGTAAGCGGTAAGTAGATATGTTTAATTTTTATTTTATTTAATATAAATAACCACAACCACATTACACTGAAGAGTTTTCTGCTTGATCTTTCATGGCAGTTGGTAGAATAAGCTGGACAATACTGTATATGCATTTGCCTCTGTTTGTTCAAAATAAGTTTCAATGTACAACCTGTTTTGATTACGTTGTTGCTATTTAGAAATTAATTCATTCATGTTTCTGAACATTTCACCTGATTACACAGAACACAGGTGTGCTATAATTACCTGTACTGGGTACCAAGGTCATTTACTGTTTACATTTTAACTATCTTAATTAATTGAGGTTTTTGTTTATTAATAATACGCTAATTTGTATTACCCCCTGCTTTGCAACTTTGTTTGAAATTCAATTTCAAAAAAATATCTTAACATAACATAACACTGCTGCAATCAATTATTACAATTTATTATGGAGTAATACTAATTTTCTATAATCATTGGCTTCAAAATAGAATAAGAAGTAACGCAACACTTAGCTTTTGAAAATATTCTATTTTATTTGGTTCTATCAGCTGTGTGCTGCTGTGTACAACAAGAATTTAATTATTCTCGTTGCCATGGAGATCAATCCATATTTTATACTTCGAAACGATCTCAAAATCTTGAAAGCCCGGAAGCATAGTCCATATTTAGGCCTTTTTAAAAATTATTACCAAAACGGAAATAGGGACACAGGAGGTATAATCCGTTAGAAATTTCTTTGTGGAAAATGTTAGATAATTTGGTTCATTGCTTAATTTTTGAGTCATGGGTGGTGAAAGAGTCTTCATCACCCTGCGTTTTGGGGATATGGCCTTGGGGGAAGGTGTTGTAGACGGGAGGGTAGCGCGGGGTCATTATGCGCGCCATTATGAAAACATCGGAAACACACAACTACTGAATAGACACGTCGGTGATTCATCTGCCACCTAAGCGAAGTTTTGTAAAAGGCTAGTAGCGAAATAGCCTCCGACAAAACATGTTAATTTGGTCACCCGTTTAGGAGGCCGTTTTTCAACAGATGTTCTTGAAATTTGGCATCAATGTAGTTGAATAGTTATATTAGAGCTCTTATACCTCGAAAGGTTAAAAAAAAAAAATAATTAGTTTTTTAAGTGTTTAAAAGTGACTCAATTTACGTTACTTTAAGATTTTTATGATTTTTATGATGTATGATGTATTGTTATGATCTATACTGTTCGTTAATCTGACAGGCTGTTAGTTTAACGAACTACATTTATCAACTTCCGGGGAAAATACTTGAGTCTTCATCAGTGGTAGCCATATTGGATTTTAGTACCATAAGAGCAATGTTAATTTTGACAGAACATTACTCATTATTTGAAGCAGCATGCCGGTATTATTTATAAATATTTAGTTTTGAACATTTATAATTTGGTTAATAACATAGAGTAGGTACTAGCGTACTAGGGAATAAGGGAATTATATTTTAAATATTTGTTTCCGTCTTTTCTTAATCGATTATTTAATTAAAGGCTCATTAACTTGTTAAGTGGAGGGGAACTGGCAAAAATAAAATCTTGACTCCCTGAGTCCCTAGAGGACCACTAAACCTTAATTTTACCACTTTTAATCATTATTTTATCACTACAGCTGTTTTTTTTTAATTCTGTTACAAAGTTAACATTGCTCTTATGGGACTAAAATGTAATATGGCTACTACTGATACTGATGAAGACGATTTACAGCCATTGGTGAAATACAGTAGTAGTATATGCATTGTGTAGTCTAGCAAGAGAAAGGGAAAGCGCAATCTCAAACGTGCAGGACACATGGTGACATGGCTCATGAAGATACTTGTATGGACATGGTAGTAAAAGTTGTGATAACGATAAGAGGTCATAGTTTAGGTTCTACCCTTTGTTTTCACTATCTTTGGGTTTCCAAACAAATTTGAACATGTAAACAATGGCTAAGAACGAAGCTGCTTTCAAAAACTAGCGCTGTTAAAATCCAGGCTATGCTACTAATGATGGGAGTTTCAAGTTTAAATAGAACCTAACTTAGCCTGTGGTGTGCCTAACCTATCCGAACCGTATCCATGTCTATTGGTCTATATAAAGCTTATAAACATTTTTCTATACGGGCTGAGTTAGTTTTTCGATAAAAAATCTATGCCAAGTCAACCTTTGTCCTTTGGCAGTACTTTCACCATATGGGGCAACCAACATAGGTCGGGCCTGTTTGTCTGAACTGGTTGTTGTGTCTGGGACCCACTGTCCGTCTTCCTTCCCAGTAAACCTGATTAACAAATGTCAGGTCAATCCAGTTTTTTCGCACAAACTGAATCTGGGCTATTTTCATTTGTCTGGGACTCGCTGTCCGTTTTCTTCTCATTATACCAATGACCATGGACCTCCAATCGCCATTGACACTTTAGTGTAAATACGACACTAGTGATGATGGCATTTTCATACGACTTGACAATTCTTCAGTCCGCAAAGGCAAAGGACAACTGTGGATTACTTTTGTGCAGCATACCTACGTAGCCTAAGTTCATTTCTAGTCGCCCAGATATCTGCCGAAAAACCTAATATCAACATTATAGCTTATCGACATTCTGGGGTTGTATGGATAATTATTGTTTACGTTCTGTCCATCTCCAAACAAGTACACCCCGACGTGACATGTTAGTTGACATGGCGTTTAGGCTTTGGATTGGCCTATCTCTTAGCCCGCAGACAGACAGCGCTGATAGGCATGAGCGGGAATCCAGTGAAACTCAACATTCATAACCTCAAACTACACAACCAGAAAATCGAATCGAGAAAAATCAATCTTACCACCATAAAATAAACTAATTTATGAATACAGCTAAAAATATGGTTCGCCTTACCTGAAAGATTCTGCTACAAACGATAGTCAGTGACGATCGAACCTAATATAACTAGGATATTAAAAAACAGAATTTACACACATTCACAAAACAAACATCAACAATCGAAAGGATCGGGAGCCGGGAGGGGAGGGGATTTCCGAGTAACGAGTAGAGCCGAAGGTAGCCGAATGAACCCGAATGAGGATTGTGGGTAACAAAACAACAAACAACACTGACAACTCGAACTTACCTTACCCCGTCGTGGCTTTGCTCACAATTCAAATTTAAATGCTAATATTTTATCTGATAGAAAATAGTAATAAAATAACGAATATGATCTGATAAAAAACTTTTTTTATTTAAAACAATCGTATTTTATTTTTTAATAGTCTAATTATAAAAGCTGAACTTACGTGACTAATGGCTGAAGTTAAAAAAACTAAGGGTGAACTTCTTCATTTACAAGAAGTGAACCGTCCTTTTCACCAGGAGCTAAAATTACTACAGTAAGCACTTTGTCGTTGATATCAATTACCACCCCACCATATATTATACGTGTACAATATACTTTGCCACCCATCTATTTCTATAAAACTAATACGGCAACACGAAATTTGGCCGTTGAAATCCTCCGCCATTCCTTAACCAATGTTGACCATCCACGTCTCATTGGAAACGTGGAAGCGTGTCACGTAGATCTGTAAACTAGCCTTAATTGTTTTAAAAAGCCCCTTGGGCTCTGTCCCAGTGGCTTTTTAAGTCCCCATGTTATCCTTATGAAGAACATACTATTTGTTTACATTATGATCAGCTGGATAATTCAATTGCTGTTAATGTTAGTTCAGTTGCAATTCAAGGAAACATGGGCTACAGAAATGTACTTACTTTGTTGAAACTAAATATTTACTGCATGCATTTGGGTATAGTTCATATTACATCGAAAAAAGCTAGAAAGCCTGGACAATTTGATATATTTAACAGAAAATAAAACCTAATTGACACAGGACTGTAATATGACTGTTTCTTGACTTGAGCAATCTTAGTACATTCATAGAACGCCAAGTTGAAGAAATAGAGATAACGTGTTTTTAAATAATGCATTGGCATATCATTAGTAGCCTATCTATACAGTATTATGAAAAACACCTACAAGATGAAGATTCCTACAAACGATGGACCAGGATGTTAGCCGAAATGCTACCTACCATTTTTAGTAGGAAACATGGACTTTCACTTTTAAAAATAAACTCAACAATTTAATTTCCAAAATATTTATTATATTTTATCCCTTTTAATAAAAAAAGATAAGTCCACAAAATGAAAAAATATATGTGTACTATAGAGGCTTTTATATTTACTACAGTAGTACAGTTTTGTATTTACAGTAGTTTAGGCGTGATACAGTTACTTTCAAGATTCCACTACTATGGTACCAGCTCAAGAAGGCTTGAAGGTAACTGACGATTTATATCAGGAAATATTTATCACAACAATTAAAGATAAAATATGAACGCTTGTGTGTCATTTCTGTATTTTGGTTCGTGGTTTGCAGTTTGCGGTGATTACGGTATTGTTTCTGTAATATTCTTTGAATTAGTGATGTTTGCATTAAATTTATACTTAAAAAACGCATCACCATGCTTTACACTCCAAATCAACCCGAAACCCGTTCGATTATTAATAATAAATTGAGATGGTGGTAGTATCTTCTAGAAGGTGCAATAGGGCGAAGGTTGAGAGTAGAATGGTTTGAGATGCCTTCAGAAGCTATGTTACCAAGTTATATATATAACCTATATATACTTTAGGTACAATAATAATTACTGCACTCGGGTTATTTGAAATTGAGTAGTGAGAAGTTGCCGAATTTCAAAATTTTTACACCGGTAACAAATTATGCATTTTACTTGAACAGTGATATCAAAACTTAATCATATAAACTCACTTAGCAATTTAAACATTTACTGTATCCAATTTTAATTTGAACAGAATTGTATACCCATAAAATTAATAATAACTGAATAACTGATAAACTACTAATAATACTTATTTGATTTTAAATATTAATTTAATTACAAGAACTATAATTTCCAATATAATATAGCGTAGATAAAACATACACGTTGCCTAGTCTATGATAATGGTGAAATAACAGCGCCTATAAACGCTTAACGACTGAGATTTTTTAAACTACTGTATCTACAAAGGGAACCGAGGTTGGAAAATTAGCAAGGTTAATATTATTACTCTTGTATTACGTTTAAAAAATATAAGTTAACCCGTTTAACTTATATTTTTTGCCTTTTGCACCATACCATTAGTTAACCATCTCAAAATACATTAATTTTGCATACTGTTTTATAAGTTAGCTCTCGAAATTGCTTCTATTTTTGCTTTCTTTAGCAAACAAACAGCTGTTGGCGACTTATTATCTATTTATATGCTATTGTCGTTTGGAAAAGAAAGTAGGGTGTAATCACTCTACCAATGTAACAAGAAATTAAATTACCGAATTATGTTTTCATTTATTATGTAAAAACTATTGATAACGACATTTATTATTGTCAATTATACAATGTACAGGTAAAAGGGCCATACGAACAAATTAATTCAAATAATGATTAGTAACATTGTGATAGTGTATTTTTATCGGAACTATTTTCTAAGTCGAATTTTGCGGATATGTCGTTGGCAAAGGGAGGATACTGCTGGTGTCCTCGACTTCGTCTGATTATTTACTATGAGGATAGAAATAACTATGTAAATCCCACAACATGTGTACTAGTTTGTTATGCAGTATCACAATATGTATTTTTATTTTACTACCCCCCACCCATCTCCATGCTACATATCCTAAAAGCTACAAGTCTACTCGTCTGACCACACTTAACACTGGTGGTAGTCTAAATAGTATTTTAGAGCAAAAATACATAAATAATACAATTTACTATACACCTCTACAGAGAGCTGGAGTATAGTAAATGATAATACATAAATTGTAAGTATTTACTCTGAGGTAGTACATATCAAGCTCAGCTCAGGGTTGTCGCTGTCACACTGTCACATTGGCGATCATCTTTTGCATCCCATGGGAGGAAACAGCAGACGAAATAAACAATACAATCAGGAAATAGTTATTTGTGCAACTAGTGAGAAAAGTGAGCAATTGACTCACTCGAGAGAAATCCTTACTCACGAGCCGTAGGCGAGTGAGGAATGGTTTCTCGAGTGAGGCAATTGTACTTTGAACTCGAGTTGCACATTATACTTTTCCTACAGTTACCTACCATAAAACAAATAAATTTGTGAAGAAACATAACCTATTTTTACACAGAAGTGAACTTTTATTATAACATTTAATGTGAAGTGACAAATACAACAGTACAACAGCTGACCAGCTGATTTGCAGCCAGTGCTGCCAACGTATTTCGCGCGCATACGACGTTGCCTGCATGTTATGCGCTCACTATTTCGTGCCCTCACGTTGCAAATCTGGAGTGAGACAAAGTAATTAGAGTGAGACAATGTTAATATTGTCTCACTGATGAGCGAATTGGCCACTTTGCTTTCTCAAATCAATGAGGGAACATGTACATTGTTAGGTAACTGTAGGAAAAATGAGATTTTTGATGATTTCAACAAAAAGCGTATTTTATAACATATTTTATACAACTTAACACTTAATTGTTTACTGAACACAGATAAATTTACATTTGTTACTTATAAGTTAATCAGTTATCCCAAAATAATAATTTTCCCAAGTTAAATGACTGTATACACAAATACGAATAAAACCTCACTGAGGTAGGCTGTTCAAATGGTTCTAATGTAGACCAGCATTCTTGATCATTGGGTATTTTATAAATTACCCTGACTAAAAAGAAAGTTGATATTGCTCATCAATAATGCTACCCAGACCATGTTTGGTAGGTAAGGAACTATTACGGTTACAATTCGGGGAGAAGAAAGAAGGGGTGTCCAACAAAAACTCGCCCGGGCGCGGGTGAAGGGGCGCCATCAAACCACACGACGTAGTCCCCTTCACGAGTACATTCATAGCCACCTCTAATAAAATACTAGAGAATGCTGTGTACTAGAGAAGGCCATGGTGCATTTCAATAATCCACCATACCATTGCAGCATCATAGGCACAATATATAGCAACCACTGATCACATAGGACATGGGTATCGGTATATGAACCAATTAACGTGTCCCGAAATGGGTCAATTTCAGGACGATTCGTGAAATTATACTATCCACGATTACTAGAAATAGTAATCGTGATACTATCTTAGTTTTGTGTTCGACCAGTTTCACACATGGGCATCATGTGATGGATAAAATCGCAAAATTAATGAGTTTAGAGTGAACATATGGTATTGTACTGCTACAGCACATCAGGTAAATCAGATGTTTTTTATACAGGGTTAGTAAAAAGTGTGGAGACCCCCTGTTATTTTTTTAACGGCCCATACTAGAAAAACTAAACTCGGCACACCTTTATGGCATGTTATGAAGTACTTTTTGGGCATAACTGCCACTTGGTGTTTTTTACTGGATTGAGATAAAGACCTCTAGTTTGCGTTGTTGGTTTTCTTTTACCAGGACCTTCAAAATGAGGGGTCACTCGATGGGTTTTTGTATTTGAAATTTTTTAGTTTCCCCCAAAATCCCCCATTTTGGGGTGAACACCAAGTGGCAGTTATGCCCAAAAAGTACTTCATAACATGCCATAATGGTGTGCCGAGTTTAGTTTTTCTAGTATGGGCCGTTAAAAAAATAACAGGGGGTCTCCACACTTTTTACTAACCCTGTATAATTCTGAAAAATCAACAAGATGAATAACATGTAATTATAATCATGAACAAAAATTCATAAAAATATTGTTTTAGAAACTAGTTTTTAGCACATTTCATTACTAGATACTTTAGATAGAAGTATGCGATAAAATTATATTGAAAGTGAACACATTGTGGTTTTAGTCCATCGATCTCTAATATTAAATAGAGATAGATGTTTTAGCCCTATCGAGGTCGAGGAACAAAATAAAGTTAGACAATGAAATCAGCTGTTCCAAACCAACTCGACGTGGTTTTAGCCACTTAGCAGAACCTTGCATAGAGGAATATTTGCTCGACTAGTTCATATATATGTAAGTGTATTTTAGTGATTATTTTTTTGGAAGCGATCTATGAAAAGCAATGTGTATGGGAAATAGCACGGCACATGTATGTGTGAAACATTGTGAACACAAGTAAGTTGATTTATTTGGGTGTATCTATGCCCTTGGCATTTGACCTTTTTTGTAAGGGAAGGTCCAACCCCTGGTCTTGTTACTGTGTAACGCCGACCTTTTCTTTTTTACTGGATATAACACTTATTAGAATGCCAGAAAGCCCAGTGGTAAATGGCATTTGGGTCCAGTAAAGATTTCGCTTGGAATCGAACCATCGATTATCAGTTTGAAGTCGAGTACTATATACCAGTTTGGCATCCCAGACAATTAATTAGAGGGTTAAAAATGGAGCACCAGACAGTGGTGCCAAATTGATAAATTATTTTAGATGTGATGTATAACAGTTGATGCCTAATAACATAGATAAAACATACGTTGGTTAGTCTATGCTAATAAGTAATAATGGATTACAGTAATTGTCCGGGAGAGTAAGTTTTAACTCAGCAGTAATTTTAAAGTTGATTTACAACCTGTCACCACTCACCAATTTCACCCTTTCACGCCTGGGTGCCTCGTTGTATTTATTTATAGGATATTTTAAAATGGTTTGAAAAATTATTACAACCAACTATAGTTTGTTTGTAAACTAATGACATTTCATAGGGATCTACGGATTGAGGTGAAGACATCGAAGGTAAAAGGGTATTACAACCAACCTTGAAGAACACAGTGAAGTGTGAAGTCTAGCGCAATAATTTAAACGTAAAATAAGTTATATTTATTTACGTTTACAATCCTAAGGAATACAAAAACTTAAGTAAATAGAATATTTGATTATTCAAGCCGTGCTATGACTGTTACATCGTTCAATATATGCACATGTCCTCATATAGAACTAATGTTGTGCACGATGGGTTTAGTTAGAGCTACATGGAAGCTAAACGTTATTTGCTAACGTTATCAAAGGCTGAGACGAGAAAAATTAAAAAAAACATTGTTTTGAATTTTAGGTTATGTGGTTTTATTTTTGAATTTATTTATTTATACAGACGAAGTTTTCTGTCACTAATAAGTTGATCTAACAATTAATTAACTAATTTTGTATAAACCTACGATAGATATGATAATATTTAATAATTTGGAAAAACTGAGCAAATGGAACTCGAGAATAAAAGTTTTAAAATTTGTAAGTTTCAATTCCCCAATGATTTTCTTTAGAATAGGCCTAATAATAACTTAGGCCTACTAACCTGTTTGTTCTGTTTCTAGAAATTTAACTATTATGTAGGTTTTACCGATTGTGGACTTGATTGGGCAGGCCATTTTGCAATCTTTTTGGCTGCACTTTAGTTTACGTCCTACACTCATGCGAATAAATATTCCTATATCGATTATTTCATTCGGTATATCAAGTTTGGTTAGTTAGACAATAGACAATAGACAATATATATTTATTCCTTTAAGCATACAGATGATAATGCAATAGGACAAGTCAAGAATTTTACATGGTAAAATACATATAGGTGAGACAAATGTTTTATCTAGTTAGGTTAACCTAACCTAACTAACTGAATGAAGTAATCGATATATCGATTAATCTATAGGCCTATATATCAATATTTTTCATTGGAATGAGTGTAGGACGTAAACTAAAGTGCAGCCCATGAATATACAGTAAGCCTACGTTTCTTTGTATTTGGACTTGTTTAATTTACTCAATCAATTGTAAACTGCAGTCACCTAGTCTACCCAACAAAAAACTTACTGTATTTATTTCTTAGGCCAATTACGATGCTAGTTTTGTGTCAAATACTACGCTGTCCATTGATGTGAATCTACCAATAACTTCACTTGGCCTACTTACTAATAAATCAATCGTGAACATGTGCCTTTATCAGGTGACACCCCAGGTATCTATGCTACCGTACTCTGATGTCCACTGTACAGCATTATTGCCACTAATTAATTTGGAGCTGTTCTTTGTCATTATGACTTGTCTGATTTTTTTGTAAGCTTTCAAACTTTTCAGGGAGCGCTTCAAACCCATGTCTTGTATTATTTATCTTGTGAGTTGACTATTAATCATCTTATAGACAACAACTAGGCCTAATTAAGTTTAGTTAACTTAAGACATCAAGGTAAAAAGGATGAAGAAATGCATTCCATATACTTTTACTATTGGACAAAATTACAATGAACTCTCTTTCCCCATTCATCTATGATATAGGCCTATAGAGGGTTTATTCGTTACAACATATTATTATTATTTTGATTGTAAATCCTTTCCTGATTACGAAGAAGAAACTATATTCATTTTATATAGCCTACCTAGGTAGGGCCTACTGATAATAATTTATAAATCCAGGCCAAGGCATAAAATATGAAATTTGTTTTCAGGCTCAAAGAAGGCTAGCCTCAAGCAAAATTAATAGCAACGTAAACCTTCAAATGTATACAGCTCAGCAACAACTTACAATAATAAACACTCTGCATAACTGTGTTATAAATAATATCACCAGGTATGTACGGTTTGAAAATGTATTATTATCTCCATTAGCATTCACCATTTTAAACAGTAAATTTACAAAAATAATCTGACTAATAATGTAATCTTTATACTGTAAACTAAATATACAATAGGTTATCAATAAAAAAATGAACACATTTAAAGATTCCTTAAGAAAGCGGGCAAATATAAAAAATTAATACACAACATAAACAATGTGAATAATTATGTAGGCCTATAAATTAAATAACTTAAAACTTAAAAACTTACATATGACACACTTTTCTATAAATTGGAGGTTAACAGCTCTAAACCTGCTTTCCTTTTTTTAAAATCTATGTACAATTATAGTTTGGTTTAAAATTTAAATGTATATGCTTCTTGTCAATAACGCCATGGATGACTTTATGCTTAGTACAGTAAAAACAGATTTCAATGGCATTGATCAGTTTTATTACTATAGTCTGATTTTTACCGGAGTGCGGCTGGAGCTCAGCCCTACCTGCGAGGGACCCGACTCACGCACGCACACTCACCACCGTCCTAATTGCCTGAAAGCCCCGATCCCTATTCACTAAGTAGAAATAAAACATACATCAAAATAGCAATTCATTTGATGTTAGATATACAGTAAAATGGTTAGTGTTAATAAATTTGTCGTTTAATTCAATGAAAAATGAGTCCAAACACGATATGATTATGACAAGTAGCTAGCTAATTAAAACGTGTTAAAATATTCGTAGCTTTTACACTTTGTAAGCAAAATATATATTGTTTGGTATCATTTTACTAAGCATTTTGAGCTGAAGTCAAAAGCGGTTCCAGATTTTATAACAAACGTAAAATAAAAAAAAATGATAGTTTAATTTCCGTGAGCCAGCGATGACTCGCGCGGCAGGACAATGGTCCGTCCCACGTCCGTCCTAATCCCTTGCGTCTGTGTGTGTGAGGCCTGCGTGTGTGTGAGTAGGGTCGACCCTTCAGCCAGCCGCTTTCCGTCAACAATCACACTATAGCAATTTTAAATAGCCTAGGCCTATTTACAGGGTTTTTAGGACTACCTATAAAATGACCTATCAAAATTAAATTAGTTGTTTACATTTTTCATTTACTTAATGCAAACCACCTATGATAATTCTGTTTATGCTAGGACGTATTTAAACGAGAAGAGATTACAAAGTCTCAAGCCTTTGTTTGAAGGGACCCCAGTACCGACAAACCTAGAAGCCTTGTTGAATGTCAGTGGTCTCGGCCCAAAGCTGCTGCACAAGATTTGTGACAGTATACTCAGGGATTCAACCACTGATGTGTCAGAAGAAGGAAAAGACAGATCCGAAGACTCTAGCAAACAAATTCAGAAACTCAGGCTGCCAGCTGGTTTAGTTACTCCTTCATTTATATCACAGGTAAAGTACAACTCTAATTATCCAAGTAGATTTGGACCGTATCACATTCGGATTGTAAAAAATTATTGGTTAATTGGATTTGTTGAAATTTGGAATATTTTATTGAAAGTAGGCCCAAGTCGAGCCTAGATTTCACTAACGCAGAATGAGTCTGTGATGATTTCACAATTGAAGAATTGCTTTCACTGCTATTGCGCTGAACAATGATGATTTTTAGACCCTGGGAGACAATTATTGAGTCAACAAGACCATGGAAGATTTTGATGCGATCTTAGAAGACGATGATGATGTTTCTGTGAAATAGTTAAAATAATATGTGCATTCCACGCTCATATAGTTGAGTTGTATTTTTCACAAAGATACTGATAGACAGAGGTGCCCATCCCCCCCAAACCCAGAGGCGCAACCCCCCCCCCAAGCCAAAGGAGTAGTTCTCCCCCCCCCCAATTTATGCTGCCGTCTATTTAAACCTACCCTCCCCCCACCAATTTATCTGACAATTTTCCCTTTACCTCATAAAACGAGCATTCCAATTTAGTATTTAGTAAACTTGAGGTAAAGAAAAACAAACTTGCTGATAATAAAAATTAAATGTTTAATAGGAAACGAACAACATTTAACAATACTTCATTAGGTATATCTAACTAATGGACGAATTAGAAGTGTTTCAATTTACATTTCAGAATCTCTATTGTCAGCTAACATGTGTTCAGTATTGCAATAGACAACGTCTTCAAAACGTACAACAATATACTAGGTGAATTACTCTACTCCAACACAGTATTGTAACTGTACAGTATATTAGGTGGCGTTAAATTTTACAGAGAAAGAATCTCAGAGAAGAATTTTAAGAAATCAAACCGCTTTAAAAATGCATTAATAATACTTTGGCAAAAAATTTTTTTTTTTTTCAAAATTATAGGCAGTCACGAAATAAGACAGACTTGTTGCTCGCCACTCCCTGGCTCAACAAACACCGCCACTCCAAACAACACACTCCAAAAACTCGATTTTAACTCTACAAAAATCGCCAGGCAAAATACCCAGGTTTTTGTGACGAAGTAATCTTTAATTAATTTTGATAGCCCCAGGATTGCCTTTTATGACTAATAATGGTAGAAACGCATCTTGTCAGACAATCTGTTTATACACAAAACACGAAACGATAACAGATAGGCCTATCAATTCACGTGAGTATATTGCCGCGGGCAGGACTGGAAGTAAACTGAATCAGGTTATGACGGAAAGACGTGGTCTCTGGATTGTCGTCTGTGTTATCAAAAGCTGATATTGGACTAGTTGTAGTGACGGAGGAGAGTGTTGAAAATGTAATGGGATTCATAATTGAGTTTTCCATTTAAAATTATTGACAATAATAACCAATTTATCTGCTGGATATAAATTATGGTCTCGAAATTCTACAGTACTGCACGAAAGGAAATTTATTAAATACTTTGAGGAGTTTGAAATATATAAATACATAAAACTAGGGACAGCGCAAAATTTTTGAGTGAAAACACTCAATTAATTATGAATCCCATTATACTTTTAACACTCTTCTCAGTCTACAATAGTCCTATATCAGCTGGTGACAATGCAGACGACAATCCAGAGACCACGTCTGTCCGTCATAACCTGAACCTGATTCAGTTTACTTCCAGTTCTGACGACGGCAATATATACGCGTGAATTGATAGGCCTATCTGTAATCGATTCGTGTTTTGTGTGGTGGAGGTAAAGAACCACCAAAACATATGTAGCAAATAAAATTCGACACTGACACTGGTATATTAAGGATTGTCTGACAAGGTGCGTTTTTACCATTCTTAGAAGCAAATCTTAATTACGAATGGCAAAATGTTGTTGGTGTTGATAGTGAGCTACTTAGAAACACTTTTTCGGGCTGCTTATACAAAATTTGTCATTCATTATGACAGCTAGCAAAAAACATCCCCCCCCAAAATCCCCTCAAAAAAGTCCCCCCCAAAAATTCCTGTGGCGCAAACGCGCCACAGTACCCCCCCTCTGGGCACCCCTGCTGATAGATATCCAGAGGTTTAACTGTTGCCTAAACAATTATTAATACGTATCACACAACAGAAACACTAAATTGGTTATCCAATAAGTTGGTGAGTAACGACTAGGTGTTATTAGTTTACACTGAGGCTATTGTACTTGTCATCCTTATCTGTCCACAGCAGGGCCGTCCCTAGGGTTGGTGGGGCCCGGAGCAAACAAGGTCATGGCGCCCCCTCCCCCCAGCAGTAATAGTCGCATTCGCATATTTTAATACTATGTTAATACAAATAGCTGCTGCGCGGCACCTCCTCAACCACGGCGCCTGGGGCAGCTTGCCCCCCCCCCCCTTCGGACGGCCCTGGTCCACACGCAAAACTGCAATGTCCTTTGTTCCTCATCAATCTTAAATGTCACAGGTTGGTGTGGACAGTGTGGTCAGTATCAAGTTAGGCATCAGCACCATCAGCTGGGCTCGGCTGAGGGTTGGCGATGGTCAGCTAGACTCATGGGACCTTGTGGACATCTCTGAGTGGGCTGAGAAGAAATATGACGTTCACTCCATCTACGACTTGGTTAGTAAATTGTAAGGACCATCAACGATAGTTCTGGTGAAAAGATTAACACTTCGTAAATTGTAGCACATTCATGCATAATCTCATGCAAAATAAAAAAACAAAATTTACCACATTACATAAATCTAGCATATACTTAGCTTAAGTTTAGTTTTTTAGGTAGTTTTTTATTTAATGACTATTGTCGCTTGTTCTTACTGGGTCACTTTAAGCTTATTTTATAATCTTTCATACCTCAATAGAAATCCATCGCATAAACTGCAAGCGTACCCTCTGGAGTTCATTTGTGACTGACTGGAATTTTTACAAGATTTGCCCGCCATTAGACCACAAGTGAACCAAAACTGCCTGTAGGCCATCAATGAAACTGCAAGTGTTAGAGCACTGGCTCAAAGAGCTCCTATGTGACCAAAAAAGTGTACCAAGGCTGGCCCACTGATATCCTATGTGACTAAGACTGGCTCCCAAAGTTCCTATGTGACTGCAAGTGTACACAGACTACCCCGGCACTCCCATGAGATTTTGTGTATGCAAAAAAGTCTTTCGAGTACCTTTCCTAACAATTCTTGGTACTGATGAAAAAATACAGGGTTATTACAAATGATGTTCATGATTTCATACATACATAAAATATAGTTTTATTTGTTATGCAAATAATTAAAATGGTTACAATTTTTGAAAAACTCAAAAAGTTTCGACACAGACACACAGAACTGTAAATGCTTGATACGGGAACCCCTTGTGGTACGACAGATGTCAATAATGTAGTCAAGCTCTTGCTAGACCTTGAAAAGTGTGTCCAGGTCTATTGTTTCGATAGCATCGGTAATCCGTTGCTGGATCTCAAGTATGCTATCTGATAATGGTGATGTGTACGCCTTATCTTTGATGTATCCCCACAAGAAAAAAATCAGGGGGTGATGTCCGGAGATCTTGTCTTGCAGTTCAGGGGTGTGTCATTATTCGGACCACCGAGCTCGTTTCATATCTCAGGCAGCACATTGTTAAGTTCAGCCCTACTACAAGTAACATTCAAATGCAGCCATTTCTCTTAAATTTCAAGTATCACTTGCCAATATAGTGGTTACTAGGGGGATCATCGTTAAACCTGGTTCTAAAGTGTCGTTGCACACTAATAACAGATTGGTTAATGTAATATTCCAACTGGCAAAAAGCTGTCCTGCCTTCAAATTCAGCCATTACACAACACTTACAACAATTGACTTGACAAACAGCTGATATGCACCCAAACCAATGTAAATGAAACTTTGTGAGTTTTTCTTTCCAATGGTACCAACTAAAATAGTCTTGAAACAAATTGACCCAGTAATATTTATAATCAAAATCAGGAACATCATTTGTAATAACCCTGTATGTCTAATTAGAAACAATAGCATCATTATTGTGACATTAACACTGTTTTGCCAATTGGTACAGGGTGGTACAAAAGAAACCCAAAAAATAAATGGTTAATAGTTTACTAAAACAAAGCTTGCAAATACTTAACTAAACAAAAATATGTTTTACGTGTCGTCCTTCGTTAGTAAAAAAAAACAAAACATATTCCATTCGGTCCATGATCTTGCTGGCCATCTCAGAGCATTGCTGGGCGGAAATGTCTCAGAACACCCGTTCAATGTTGTCTTACATGAAATAGCGTTTGCGTTTCCTTTTTTTTGCACCACCCCGTACAATATAAAATTAGACTTTCAGCATGATCTGCGCAATTGGCATGGATTGATAATATATGTAATGGATTAGGGCAAACTCCTAAAAAATATTTGTACTGGCATTTTTATTGTGTTTTTTTTTCTCTTTTGAGGAGATTCTGATACTGTTTGTTGGCGATCAAGAAGATTGAAGCTTTACTGTATTAGCTAAAAAAAAATTTAATAAAACACGACAAACTTATCAGATTTGGATTACATTTTACATTTACCAACTCTGTTAAAATTAACAGTGTGATGTTAATTGTTCAGGTGATGGATATTCGTGGGGACATCCCTGATGGAGATCTTTACGTCTTAGAAAACAGCAACTGGAGTAATGTTGCTAATGTGAAAAAGCCAATGAAATTCCACATACAAGAGGCCATGCTTACTACAGCTATTTGTTCTGTCTTTAATCTTATCGGTAAGTAAAACTAATTACATACTTGTCTAAAAATACATTGATTTTTAATACCTATAAATTCCGAGTGGTTATATTATTTCAAAATATTGTACTTTTTATGTGTATGTATCTTATTATGTACAAACTAGCTGTACCCGTGGGCTTCGCCCCGTTTAACTTCATAAGTATTCGCATGGCTCATTCACGTCCTGGTTGAAGTTCGTTCGCTACGCTCACTCACCTTTAGGTTGGAGCTCGTTCGCTGCGCGCTACGCTCACTCACCTTTTGGTTGGAAATTAGCTGTTGTCATAAATTTAAAAAAAATTAATAGTGCTGCACCCTGTTGGTAATCCTTGTAACTTTTATGCTATTGCACATCATAGAACAGAACCAACTAATTTAATTGAAACAGCTGTTAAGATTCATTAATTCCTTTTAAATATGAAAAATCATAAGATTAACATGGGGAACTACAGAGCCACTGGGGCGGAGCCCGAAAGGGTTTTTGAGATAAGAATATGCTTTAATGTTAATCGGGAATGTGAGCTATCATCATGCCAAATTTAAGCCCAATCCGTCCAGTAGTTTATGCGTGATTGAGCAACAAACACACACACAAACATACACACAAACATACACACAAACTCACAAACTTTCAGATTTATAATATTAGTAAGATAAGATACCTTCAAATAACATCCAAATAGGTTCGTTAGTCAAGATTTTTCCTCCTATTTCGTTAATTGTTTTTTCAATGTGCAACATATTGGAAAAAAATCCACTTTAATGTTGCAAATCAAGAACTTTTGAAGTAAGGTGGGTAACTGAGATTTAATTCTTACTAGAGATTTTTCAACTGTTAGGCCTACTTATTCTTTTGATAGTGATGGAAAGTGTTACTTTAAAGTAAATATTTTTACGATTTCAGATTCAGGAAAAGAGCCGAACACAGCAATGCCCAACCGAGTGTATTTCCTGAGATCGTACACACCGTTTAGATTGTTCAGCAAAGTGATCGGCTCCGAGAGAGTTAGTGCTGAAGACATTGTTTTGAACATGATTGCTGGAGAAGCTGATGAACGATTTAGGCAGATCAGTTTTGTCAATGGAACTTCCGACAAGTTCTTGAGTTACAACGGTTCCATGAGAGACAGTATGTGCCAATCCTTGTTGCTGGTCGTTAGTTTTGCCGAACTTATCATGTTCAAAAACCCAACTGGTCTTAGTATGATTTCAAAGCCGATAAAAAAGAAGGAGAATAAAGAATAATGACTAAAGAGGGTGAACTCCCGAGTCGAGTTAAATAAGCATCCCTTTGGAAGACAGATTGGCTGGACCAGCGTAAGGCTTAAGAAGGACTAGTGTTGGTGTCGCTCCAGTTTTACCTTTCAAGTTTAAACCTTATGCTTATGGCATGAAGGTATTTGATATACTTTGTGTGAGCTTTCAGGACAGTGTAGAAACTATTTCTACTGGGCCTATTGTACAGTGTACACCAGGGGTGCCCATCCCCCCCAAAGCTCACGTCGCAAAATCCCCCCCAAAAATCGTTGTTTAACCCATGCCAGAAGGTCTGGGGGCTAACCCAAAATTATGTTTAAAATGCGGGGATGGAAGGGTGCCCCCGACACTTCTTTAAATTTATGGGAATTTAAGCGTTTGAATCAAACTTTTAACCCAATATAAATGGATGATTTTCTTTTAAAACTGTAGTAGCAAACTATTTGTTAGTTTAGTTTTAATTTAAATGTGTTGGATTTTTGACATGCACACAATTTGAATCAAAATTGGCCATGTAGTTTTTTTTAATCCGATTTTCCATGAGTTAATAGGTAGGTTTTAAAAGGGAAAATCACAAAAGTTGCAATAACTTTTGAACCATAATTTTTACGGCATAGAGGGTTTAGGCCTACACAATTTTTGTCATAGTCAAATAGTATAACATGTTAATTTTAATTCAAAATCGTCCAGGCCAATTCTGAGAAAATTTTATTCATCCATTATTTTATAGGGTTTTATGGAATATCACTATTAAAAATCCAAAATGAAAAAAAAACCATCTGGAGAGACCATGGATTAGTACCTAAAATACTGTAGCTCTATACCATACATACACACATACAGACAGACACACACATCACTTCGAAAACCACTTTTTTGGGATCAGGGTTTTTACATAAACAACTCTTTTACCATATTAAATTGTAGGGGAGAAAGTACTTGAAGTTATGTCAAAAAGCTTGAGATATTTTCTAAATTGCCCTTTATAATCCACTTCTGAGTTTGGTCCTTTTTAAATAAGTGTAAAATATTCAGTCTCAAAAATATTACTAGGCCTAAACTTAATAGGTAGTATATTTCGTGCCTAGGGCCAAAATGAGGTTTTGCTGGTTCGAGGTAGTTTTTAAGTTCGATACGAGGTCGAGGACTTAAAACGATCAAGAACTGCAAAACCATTTCAGTCCGTGGTACGAACGCTATTATTCACCACCCCACACTATACCCTATTATTTACCACTAATTCACCTCAATGATAATGCACTGCACACTGATATAGTCAACACAACTACAACTTTAAGGTCATGTGGATAAATAATTCGAGGAATCAGCAAAAATAATAATAAATAGTTGCTAGGCAGCGGTGACAATAAAACAACTCTATTGCAATGCTATTGATAGTGATTGTGTATTTAAAGCGGTCAGCTGATTTTGCGGCCCTAGGGATGTAAAAACCTGCTCGATCCCCGAATGACGATGACAGCTGGCATGGCCTGCACAACGTAACTTTCAACCATCAATTAATGTGCCTATATGTAAAACAGTTAAAAACATCATAGTGTGGTAAAATAGTATATTACGTTGCTAGTCCTGAATCCCGTGCGAGACGAAGTCGAGTAGTGGTTTTTTTTATACGAGTCCGGCCAACACATTTTGGACGAGTGACGTATGATAGTTTACGCCATACTACTAAATCCGTTCAAATCCCAATATTATCACCAACTAAAGGACTAAAAATCACTAGTCATAACCTCTCGTTTTTGTTATAACCACTCATTGCCACCCAAATACAGTATAATCAGCTGATTGGTGTCCGGCAATAGTATATTACGTTACTAGTCCTGAAAATAAGTGTTTACCGGACGAGTGTGGTCGTTCCCGTGCGAGACGAAGTCGAGTACGGGATTACCATACGAGTCCGGTACACACATTTTGGACGAGTTACGTACGATAGTTTACGGCATACTACTAAATCCGTACAAATCCTTATATATTTCCACAACTATACAAATCCACCAACTAAAGGACTAATAAACACTAGTCATAACCTCTGAGAGAGGTTATGTTTTTGTTTATAACCACTAATTGCCACGAAAATACAGTATAATCAGCTGATTGGTGTCCGGTAAAACTCATTGCAGAACAGTATTACGCAATGAAACCCCATTTGAATAAGCTGGCGGCAAACAGCTGTTTTCTGGACTAAATCCTTGCGTGGAAAGTTCATCAAAATAATGTAGTGTGGCGTAAAACTCATTACAGTACAGTAGTACTGTATGAAACCCCATTTGATTAAGGACAAACAGCTGTTTTCTGGACTAAATCCTTGTATGGGAAGTTCGTCAAAATAGTGTATTGTGGCGTAAAAAAATAATTATAAATCTATTCTAAGACTAGTAAAATTTGTTTGAAGCTCTTTCTAGATTCAAGAAAAGACAATCAAATACAATTTAATCAATCCAGAATCATGTGTTTCAGTTCTTGAAGTTAACGTAAACACATAGCCTATCAAAAACCTTAATTAAATTGTCACAGTACTATGTCAATTTCTTCCAATGAATAAATGACCCAGGCATATTTATTTGGGAGAGCCAAAATATCATCACAAGCTTTCATGTTGTTGTTCATGTTGTAAAAATAGCAAAATGATTGTCAATACTGTTTTTTTTTATGAATCAAGAATATATTATAATAAACAAACCTAAAAAACCATCAATAGGTTCTCAAGGCAATGAGACTATTTGAGAATGAGTTCATAATGTAAAGGTAAAAACAAACTCAAATTGCAGATACAATTTAATAAGCAACCATAATCCTTGGACAGCAGTTGGCATGGAGTTGTTCTCACTGTCAAACATGATACGAGTCAGAAAGTGGAAATCCACATAAAAGTATCTATATATTTAATAGCAATCATAAAATGATTTATTAATCAAGATAAAATGTTAAACGGGATTTTGATTGCATAATAACCCAGTAATAAATTAAGGAGGTCGTAAAAATTATCTGATTAATCTTTGATGTGCTTTTAACCAACCACTGGATTGAATCCCCCCCCAAAATCATAAAATCCCCCCCAAATAAAATTCTGATGTCGCATTTTGCGACATCAAACCCCCCTGTGGGCACCCCTGGTGTACACAAGTAATATATATACTGACTCAGATCATTAATGCTTTTTTACTGACACCTACCAATATCCAATGTTAAATTCTAGAAAGAGTTAGTAATGAACAACACAATTATCAATTACAAACTTTTATTTCAAACAAACAAACGTAAAATATACAATTTAAAGTATCATGCTTTCATTAAACATGTTTGATTTCTTGAGCTGAGATTTGTAATGGTAACTAAACAATTTGGTAACATAGTGGTTTAATAATATACAATAAAGAATAAAAAAAAAACATAAATAAACCTAATAAAAGTTACAATATTTCACGTTTGAAATATTGGCATTAAAAATACATAAATGATTAAGCACAGTTTCTTTTTATCCAACAATAATTTCTTGATAAAAACATGGTTGATTTCTTTTTGTAAGTCCTATAAACTTAAATAAAAATAAGCTCACAATAACAGTCAAACGAATGTTATATAATTTTTTCTGATTTTGCTTGAATTAAGATAAGTTAATTTTGATCAATTAAACTCTACATCTTTATGCACTTGATACTTTTGCTATGTGCCATCCATCCTACAAAATTATATTGTATTAAACATATATTTAGGCCTGCAATAAATTATCAAACTAATATAATCAAACTCTAATACAAAAAAAAATTGAAGAACAATTTTGTTGATCAAAATATCTAATATGTGGAATTAAAATAATACACATTGCAAGAAAACTCAATGTATATACTGAAATGGTCTGGAAATGAAATAACCTTTTAGGTATAAGGAAAAGTGTAAAAGTTTTTAGAGCTTATGCATACCTCAAATAACAATATAAACCTGTTCTCAGTTCGTTTTAAAATAAAAATCACAATTATTAAACAAAACTCCTACACAAAATGCTTTATTACTATATAACATAAACCAAGTAATGGAAACTATTTATTCCGTTGGTGTTTTAAAACTTTTTACAATCTTGAAACTATAACTATAATAGTGATGTCTAATGTGTATTTCATTGACTATACAAATCGAAAAAGAAGCTGGCTCTACTTAAAAAATAAGACAAACAAACACTTAATACTTGTAGATCAGACAAAACTCTCGTCAAAGGCAAGGGAAACAATATAAGTTGCACTTTAAAATGACCAGTCATAAAAATCCAATCTTAAAATTTAACTACTTAAATACAAGATAACTACAATACAGGAAGATATATCTGAAATAAAAACAGCAAGTGTTAGGCCTAGCAACTATCGCATCGATATAATGATCTATTCACTAATGTCTTTACTATCATTAAAATATAACAAACTCTTACATATAACTTACCAGTAATGGTCAACATTTAGAGCCAGCTTTGAACTTGGTGTGCAAGTAACATTACAACGTAAACAGAAATAGGAACTGAATGGTAACAAATGAGACTCGTAACGTTAACATTTAAGTATCGTTAAGTGCCGTTAATGGCAGAATGAGCAAGATGTCTTGGAGGGATATAAACATTAAGCTATAATTGTGAAAGCTTAATCTAACCACCTGCACTTCCAAATTAAAATAGTCGAACAAACAAGTTCAGTTTTTTTGTCGCCTACATTAATGAGTTTTTGTGTTTAGCCATAGAACTACAAAGTTATTTGATTATGTACTTTTGAAAATTAGTGTTTTTTTTTGTGATGTCATTTGACTTTATTGTGCATTCAAATGCAAGTTATGAATCTTAAAACAAGACCGTTGAACCAATGAAGGCTTCAACTTTTTCAGTTGACATATTAACAGTTTAAATTAAATAGATTTTCAAAATGTTTATGGTAGCTTCTGAATATTAAAATAAATAAAAAAAAAAAAAGTAAAGACGAATGAGTAAATGCAGTTTGCACTTCCGTATAAAGTTAACTAATTTTATACATGCAATTACCGTTAATATAGTTTACAAGTCATTGTTCTTTTAGCCTCACGTAGAAAAATTTCAAGGGTATGAACTTGAAATTTAGATGGAAATAAAATAACTGTGCATGTTACTTGTTACAGTCTGTATGATGTAACCTGTATTCTGACCTAAGGTCTAACTGGGAACAGGCTAATGGTTTAAGGTCCGGGCCACCCAGGTAGATGGATGGTCAGAAGACATAGGTTACATCATACAGACTATAGTTTCTAGTAGTGTAAGATTACCTTGTACCCCTCCCTGGTCCACGTTTATGCCTAATGGCTAGAACATCCATCAAACAATCGTCACTCACAAAAAATCTAAATTTTGAAAGTGCAGCTGATACAGATAAGCCGATCTATAATACATCTATTAATGAACACAGCACACGGAGTATATACTCTTACATGAAGTCTTGGATCAGGAGCTGGCTTTTGTTATAAGAAAATTGAAACTTATATTGTAATGTCTTTGAAAACTGTTTAAAAATAACTGTGTGTGTGTCTTTTATGTTAACTATAACGAAAAAATGTTTTAATTCAATAAAATGTTATTTCTAAAGATTTAACTGTTGATGATCGTGTGTTCTAGAAATGAGAATTTTAACAAAAGCAGCACCTGAATCCGTTGCTATGACCATGTTATTACTGACGTCCTTCTAACTTTATGAGCATCGGAATTGACTTGGTTACACGCCACGTGCTGTCTTTGCTCTATACTTTATAGTATGACAATAACATTTTGGACAAGATTTACTGTACTTTGTAGGCTAGTTGGTTGATTAAAAATGTAACAGTTCCAATGTTTAGATAAAGTTTTGAATAGTACAATTGGAAAGCTTTCGGTTTTTATTTGTACATACAAGAATTTGTTAAACTATATTGTTTTATTATATGACGTAGGAGAAGACGTATTGTTCTTATGACGTTATTAATAAAGGGTTATGTTTACTCTTCTGTCATTTTTGTCTTTTTTACTGGTTTCTGATGAACAATACGCACATTAACTACGAGCCTGAGATAGCTATTTGTGTATTAAAAGCGCAAAGTACGTCACTGCCATTCGGGAACTGTAAATAGCAGCATGAAGATGAATTGCACGTAGTTGCCATACGATTTGAGAGTGACAATGACTGTTTGTGCTCATAATACACACAAGATTTTTCCTACCACCATAATTAACTTATCATAACACACAGAACCTTTTAGTTGTATTTAGGTTATGTTATTTGCTTACCGGTTGTTAAAATACCAGATCCGCAGTAGTGGTTGGTGTAGGAACGCCAACTGTAAAATCAGCTGATTTAGGGAGCAACAGAGCGGAAATGAGCTATTTTGCTCACTTTTTACAGGTTTGGAAATGTGATAATTGCCATGCAGTGGTAGGATAAAGAAAATCCCGTGTGATGGTCAAAATCAATTTATGTTGTTCATATAAATGTGGCCATTGCCTCTCCAAGCTTAAATAACCAACGGTTTTTGAAATTGTTTATTAAATTCAATTTGGTTAATTATTTCTTTTATTTGTATCGCTTCGTAAGAGCAAAGACAGCACCAACATAATGCTTTGAGCCTTCGATGGCTTTGCACGTTTTGTACATTCTCATGACTACCTCACAACAAATATATATCTTGAAATGTTAAAATAAATATAGGTAATTGAACAACATTCATCCACTATCTGGTGTTCCTTACAATAAAACTGTACAATCTGACATTGAACAAGTAATCAACCGTTGTAAGTGATTTATTTACAAATGCTCGATTCATTTCAGCACCATGCAAGATAAAACAGAATATCCTACGAAACTAAACGGACTCGACACTAATGAGAATGTGATTGGTTTAACCGGAGTAATGATGAATCAACTACAAATATTGTACAAAAAACGTCTAAAGAGAAAGACCACATGTTATGCTTGTGGAAGTGATTATAGTTTATGGTTTAGTAATTTTCATTCAATCCAAAATAAATGCCCAACTGAAAACTGGCAGTAATAATTCTAAATGCAATCGACAAATGTATAAGGTTTTGTTGAGGAGTTTTCGTTTTTAACTAAGTATGTCAAACATTCAACAGTAATTTTATTTGAATTACTATGTGAAATAATATTTAAAACTAGGTTAAAATTAAAATTTTGAAAATTTGGGAATGTGACTCAACTGTTTTTCCTTTGTTTCATCAATTGTATGCAATCTTTTAAATGGTTAGTTTTGAGATAAGATTATTTAGTTTTACTTTTTAACATGTCTTATGTACAATAGTATAGTAACAAATTCGTAAAATTACTTTTTGGTCTATATTTTAAATGTCTTTTTGGTAAAAACAGAGTGAAATATAAATAAAAACATTACATATAAAACAGACAACTATCTTGGATATCTAACAAAGCTCTAACGTACTCAAAAGTGTAAAACCGGAATCAAAAACCTTAAAACCGAAATAAAAACTGTCTTTTCTCTTTGGCATTTGAAATCTTCTCGTCTCGTACTTACGACTAATATAAAAAAACACAGACACATGGGGAGTGTGATTGTATAGAAGACACTTGAACGGCAGAAGCCCCGGAAACGTCTATCTGAAGTATTTCAACCCCGTGACGACCAAGAACTTCTCGATGAAGAGTTCTGAGTCGAGCACAGCGATGTGAGCGGCGCGGCCAATGAGGGAGTTGGCTGTGTTAGGGAGAGCGTGATGTACGTCGTAACGCACCAACGTCACCTCCGGCTTGCTGATGATGGGGTACAGGATGTTGTGCACCATCTCTCTGTATGCTGCCCCTGCAACATACATGCTGGTGAAGCACGTACAGGGAAATTGTTCAGTATGTCTCCTCGGTTCTGTTTCAACTCCCCATTACTGATAGTTCCAGTTTGAATTTTTAAATTGTGCACTTATCCATTTCAGTGGGAAACCAATAACAAAGCCCATTCTCTATGAAAGAGCTGCATGCCACTAATGTTATAAAGTTGAAGAATAATGGTTTTGTTGCCAATGAACGTGTTCCTAGACGCTGCCCAAGTCGTACTGGGTAAAACTTGATTCTTTATCAGCTGGCTAGGAGGTTACAATGGTGCATTTCAGAACTTTAGCCTAAGTATCTTAACCTTAAGTTAAATATCTTAACCAAAATCGTGTCGCAATCTTAATGCCGTAACCCCTAGGTCTAGCCTGAAGTAATGTGAAAAACAATCCCGAGCTAGTGCCTAGCGTCCTAGGACAAAAATAGTGCCCTGACAAAGGCTATAGAGACATTAAATTGTTCCAGATTCTGAAAACTACCCCAAGCAGGGATCTACAATCACTAAGCACAAATAGTTTAAACACATAGTTACCTAGGCTGCAAGTATCTTTGACTGCGGCTTTGCAGAGCTCGATGCGTGCAGAGTGTAGAGGAACGTATCGGTCCTGTGACGAGCCACACAACAACACGTGTCGGAAGTGTGACAAGTGACAACGTTGCGACAGCTTGTACATGAACGTCTGCCTCACGTCTGCTGCGTCTCTCAGGGCGAGCTGTAGCAGAGAGCCTGACTTCTTCCACTTCTGCATAAACCACATTCCTGCAAAAAAATGTTATTTTACTGAGTAGAGTCCCGTTAGTCCGAAATGGTTGGGACCGGGCCCATTTCGGATTACCGAATATTTCGGATTAAACGTTTTTTTTGTTTTTTTTATTTTTTGAAATTTTTTTGTCTTATTATTACTACTTTTTTCGGACGCAGGCACGAGCCCGGGATTGTTTTTCACATTACTTAAGGCTAGACTTATTGGCTGCAGCATTATCACTTAGTAAAATCCATTTGTGATTTGGCGGACGAAAATGTAAAATGTTACGGTAATAACAAAAATGGTGAAATATTAATTTACTAAAATACTCTACAAAAAAGTCTATCTCGCCCAGCCGCTACAGAATACTTTGACGAGGTACAGCTAACTGTGTCAAAAGTTTAATAAAAAAATTCAAAAACTTTCCAAAAAACTTCAAAAAATTTCAAAAAAAATTTCAAAAAATTTTCAAACATTTTTTTTTTTTATTAAAAAATATATTTTTTGGTTTCGGATTAAACGGACTTTCGGATTACCAAAGTTCGGATTATCGGGACTCCACTGTAGAAACATTTCCTGATATTAACGAAATTAACATTGCTCTTATAGCGGGCAAATCCAAGATGGCCGTAAGCTTCCATTGAGTCCCTAGGAGAACAATTTAAAACTACAAAGAACATTTCTAATCCCACAGTATACTAGATATTTGAATTATAATCACTTTGGTGTTAAAAAAAACATTTTTGGACGATAAATAAATAACTCTTCAGCAGCTGTTTGAAATTATCCAACATGGCCGCTAGCCTCCAAGGACTCTATAAGTATCAATTCTTAGCTCTGTAATGTATTCCTAAGCTAAGCTGCTTTTTCCTCCACACGAGTATCCGAAAAATAAGAGAAAAAACAGTTAAAAGCGAACTTTGACAGTAACTCACTATTTGAATGGCTCATATTCAATTATATTCATATTTTAATGTCTACTTTTGTCAGTGGTTGTACCCACCCATGTTGACCAGGCCACTATTGTTGTACAGAGTGCCGAGGTGTGGACCACTCAGTGACAGGAATGTGTACAGTCTGGGCAGCAAGTGTTTCATCTGAGGTCGTGCGATGGCCGCCCGGATGATGATGTTCCCTAAGGAATGTCCCACAAAGCTGATCTTGGTGGGGTTGAGACCGCACGCATCGACATGGTACAGAATCTCTCCAACCAGTCGGTCCGTCATCGTGTCGAAATCTGAGAACGTATCACCCTGTGGAACAGTAGAGAATTTAGTCGTAAAAAGAGTGATTTTGTTGCAGTTTTCCTAGAAGCTACAGAAGGCATTTCACCACATTATTCACTCATCCTTTATTCATACCAGGTTAAAATATGCAAAATTGAGTCCTTCATGAAATGATATAATGAATAGCTCAAATACACAAATATTTTAGTATACTTGAAGGCTGACACAGTTACAATCTGTCAAGTTCCTCTGATAACTACTGTACAACTTGTCCTACACACCTGGTTCCTCTCTGACATGAGGAACTCCAGGTTGGCCCCCGGCAGGCCCAGCTCCAAGTATGTCTTGACCAGACGCAGATCCGCAGAGTTACCGTCCAGTCCGTGGACGCAGACTACGAGATGCATCCCCTCGGGTGAGAAGATGCGGTACTCGTCGCTTATGTGGAAGTAAGGCAGCGTGGAAGCCAGAGTGGGGAAGTCACTGGAAAACAAATGTACAAGTTTAACTACAATAGTTAATACAATGGTAATTTTGTGGTTTTTGTGCCGAAGTGAACTATTTTAAATTGAGATAAGCCTGCTATCCTCACAAAAGTCCTTGAATCCTATGCCTTCTTTCCCTATGGTACATCCCCATCCTCAAACAAAAAAAAACATACTTATGCTCAATGTACTTATTTACTCTCTTTCTTATAAACGTTTCTTGCAAAATCTTGGAGTAAACTAGGTAAAGAAAACTAAATAATGTGTTACTCCTGGAAGCCCACCTTTACGTAGACTTGCCAAACCACCTTTGCCGAGCTCCTCTGAATATACATGGTCTGAACTTACCAAACTGTATAAAACAAACTCCATTGAAGCCACAAAAGCAAGGCCATTCCCTGACACAAATTTGGGGGTTTATAGCACCATGTGGGGGGACAACAAATTGATAAAATTTAAATGTCAAACAACAGCATTTTAAGACATTTTAGGTTGATTGTACCATACACGGTTTTGAAACTCTTGGTTATTAACTTACAAAGATCAATTAATTATAATTTGAATTTGAGTAATTCCTATGTTAACAAAAAAATTATCAAAAGGTTTAAGGTTAAGGGTTTTAATGCCTTTGAGTAAGGCCTAGCACAAGAGAACTGCAAAATAGAACAACATAAATTACTCAACACCTAAAGGCAGAAAATCATTTTCTTCTAACCAATTTTCCTACTTTAATTTTTGAAATGACAAGAACAATAAGAAAGCTTCAAGAAAACCTCTTCAGACTATCACCAGCCAATTCCGAATACGAATTTCAAATCACACCTGTAAATGAGGCCAGAGAAATTGATTTGTCTCTTGAACTCATCTTTGCACTTCTGGAATGAGGCGGAGTCGTCAGTCTGAGGTGTAACGAGTCGTTGCCTCATGTTCTCCTCGTTGTAACACTCGCAAGGCGCCTCCTCTGGGGTGGGACCACCACAGATGAACCTTCACACAACACACAACATCAGGACTGAACATTACCCAAAATAGACACTGATTACATGTACCCAATGAAATTACACTTGTGATTATTTTACTCTTTATTTTGACCCAAGGAATCACTATGTAAATTATGTCCCTACATTTTTTAACACCCTGTATGTCTTGGCCCAAAAAACCGGGAAAATCCCCATAAGTCAAATCTTTAGTTTTTAACCGCCCTGAAATGTTTTATTTCCCCCTGTTATGTTATCCAGAATAACCACAGGATGGTGCTTAGCAAGCACTCGGCCACTAATAGAGCTTATATTTACACGTACCAAGCCTTTAGAAGGAACAATGGTGGACGAGATACCAACGATGTTTCGATTTTCAGTAAGTTTGCAAGCTAGGCCTAGGTTACGAGCACAATTTTCTGTAATAAATGTTTGCTGAGCAGCACTATCCAATACAGCTCTTGCTACTATTGTTTTACTACCAGTGCTCAGATGAACTAGTGCAGTACCTAACAGCACAACATTACCAATGGCGTGGGACAAGCCGACCAAAGCTGTCTGTGGCTCTTTATCAGAATTTTCCAGAGAAGGATTATGTGTTTTGCCTGCAGAAACCTGCTTATCGCAGTCCTGTTTTGAATTATTGTTTTGTGAGCTCAAATGTAACAAACTGTTGTGACGTCGCTTGCAAATTCTACAATTACGTGTTGAAGCACAGTTTCTTATGCTATGGTCTTTACTTAAACAGTTATTGCATAATGAGCTATTTCTAGCAGCAGTCAATCGTTTTTCAGGGGTAAGGCCTAGGAAGTCATCACATTTAAATATCAAGTGGCCATTTTTACGGCAATGATTACAAGTCTGAACGTTTGCAGAGAATAGAACAGTTTTAGCCTGTGAAGAAGTTGCCTGATAGGAAGTGGGCGGTTTTAGCCTAGAATTAGGCTTGGGATATGCAGAAACACTTTTGACTGAAGTTTGGGTCAAGTTTGCTGCTTCCAGCTGAGTACATTCCTTTTCGATGAAATCCAGAAATTCCTTGATTGAAGGAACCTGTTGCGGTTCATTTCGGCTATGCTCGAACCTTTTTCTAAAATCATGGTCGAATTTACGCAAAAGATGCAGAGTCAAAAACAAGCTTTCCGTACATATGTCATGATTCAGAGCACGAAGCGCATTAACATTTTCTTGAAATGTTGAAGCAAATGATCTAAGTTGTTTAACAGAACAGCCATGCATTGGCGGCATATCCAAGATGTTGTTAACATGAATTGTGATGAGTAGGCTAATCTAGAATTGTTATAACGTTGCATGAGTTGCTGCCAAGCAATATGGTAGTTGGCAGTCGTGATAGGTAGACTTTTGACTAAGTTTAAAGGCTCACCGCTAAGACAGGACAAAAGATAAGTGAACTTTTCAACCTCTGTAATGCTACTATTTTTGTGCACTGAGTTTTCAAAAATGTTATGGAAAGCAACCCATTTTTCGGGTTGACCTGAAAAGGTTCCGAGAGTAAGTCTCGGTAACCGAACACCACAACCTCCAGAGTCATGTGAGGTTGAACCTATGCTACTCGAATGAGACTGATCGAGTTTAGGCTCAATAACCGGAGTGAGTGCAGCGCAAACGCTATGAATTTTCAAATACAAATCATTGATATTTTCTTGAAGTTTAATGACCTCATCATCATCAATGTCTTCAGATAGTGGATCCGAATTGAATAGTTTGTTGAGCATTGACTCAAATTCAGTATTTTTTTTATTAGCAGTTGCTTTAATAACCTTAATTTTTTCAATCTGAACATCTGAAAGATTATCAGGGCCTATTGTATGAAGCGCAGTGACTTGAGTGTCGAGCTGAGATAGACGAGCCTTGGTGAGTTCCGCTTGCTTGCGAAATGTAGTATACCGCAATGGAGGCATGATGAGTAAGCTAGTTCATGAAGTGCACAAGTTTAGGCCTACCTACTTATTAATTCAATAAGCCTATTTCACAGACTTAATGTAGTCTAAAAATTCAGCAAAAAATATTAAGTTAGCCTAACAATTAGTAAAACATAATAGGCTTACAGTAACCAACTATGGAGCCAGTAAAAAACATAAACAAAACTCTTCAAAAGAATCAATTGAGTTGTGAATAGGCTAGGCCTATGAAGATGTTAAAACAAAACCTCTTTTTCTTTCCTTGTCTAGTTTAACAACAAAAGACCAAGTTTGTCAATTAAGTTGAACTAGGCTATTGTTCTTCTAACTTGGATAACAAGTCTCACATTTAATAGATTACTAGGCTAGTTCTATAAAGAAGAGAACATCTACAACTGTGAACCTGTCAGCATCTGTGTAGGCCTACTTAGCCTAACTATAAAATTGGTTTACAAAATAATCAATTCAGCTGAATATAAATCACAAAATAAAATATAAAAACCTCTCAACTTAATAGGCTATAGGGTATAGATTCAATCAAATTGATTAACTCAGATTATACAATACTTCCGTTCTCTTTTTTTCTCAGTTGTAGTTAGGCTAGGCAACTTGAGTTTATATTCCAACAGCTATATAACTTATGTTTGTTGTTACTAAGGCTTTGAATAGGTATTACTTGTATTTTCTCAAAAGAGGTATATAAAATAGGCTAGTTTGTAGTCAATGTCTAAAAAATATGCAAGCAGTCGTTTAATGAGTTGACTCATCAATTTGAATAAAGTTGAGACACAATGGCTCAAATAAATGTCTATTAATGTAGGCTAGTGAAATGAAATGAATATAATTAAAAGTTAGTCACTATTTATTCACACTGGAACTCAGTTTTAAATCACAACTTAAATCTTGAACACAAGTCACTTGCAAAACTTGACATGAAAATCGACATGAAAACTTTCATGTTTGAGATTGAAAGGAGAAAAGCACATGTTTTACATTACTATTCCATGGACTGAACACTGAAAATCCGGTTTCGAAAGTACCAAAAATGTTATGTTTTGGCTGTAATAACCATATACAAAAAGCAAGAGTTTATAAGTGGACTGTATAAATATTAACTGATGTTTGTTACCTTGATGTTGCATTGGTTTTCACTAGGCCTACTCCTCTTCATGTATTTTCCATTTAAAAATTTATTGTCCAGGGCCCCTTTTTGTGGTCCTCTTCATATTGCATACTGGCAATTTAGTTAAATATATCTTGCAATGCTATTTTATATGTATCTTGCACTGCACTTGATATTAAATGATATTAATTTTGCGCTGTGAACTGATCTGATGCTTACTGGCATCAACATGGTTATAGTAGCACACACTAGCACAGTAAAGTGAGAGAGTGATTGAACTGTACTGTATGATTTTTGGACTGCTTGCATTTACAGGACTGACAACTTAAAAAATGAAATTATCCTGCTCATACCAACTTGGTATTATAAGAAATTAAATTAACTATTCTTTCTTGCTTACTAATAATAAATTAGTTATTTTGACAATATCTTTTGTCATGTTAAATAAAATATATAATAAAGCAATAATTACATGACACCCCCCTATGTTAATATGGGAAATAGCATTGTGACTGATTCTGATAATATGCCCTATATGCAAGCCAAAGTTTACTTGTTGAATTAACTGCAATTTAACTAAATTACTAGTTGCTCTGCCCGTGCTTCGCTACGGGGTGAGAATGCAAAAAAGAATAATACCGTTTTACTTTAAGATACTATAATATACTATGAGAAACAGTTACAACACACTTACCAGGAAACATATTATAGGCAAAGGCTCAATCGTGTTTATTGATAACCGGTTTTTAAATGAAGATCTCTTAATGTATTACAGTAATATCATTTTATATAGTGTATAGCATTTAAAATACATTCAAAAGTATAATTCATTGACCACATGGCACCATGAAACAATTCTCCTTGTAAACAAATTAAATTAAATAGCAGAACAGCATTTCCGACAACAGCTGTAGTTTCATAACAATGTTTGTTTCCCATGTTAATCTTATGGAGAAATACGAAACTTCAAAGAGCTCCAGGGCCTCACTCTCTAATTATTTTCCTAAAAAGAAAGTTTCCTGCACAACTTCACGTTACGCTCTTTCCAATGACACCAAAAACATGTCAATCGGTTCAGCAGTTTCGGAGGAGTAATTGTCACAAAAAACCTGCTTGCGTATTAAATAAGTACGAGAGGTCGTCCAGTGGTCGAAACTCGACCAAAAATATGTAATGTACTCACTTAACTATTTTCACCCCACACTGTAAATAAAACATGTGATTGGAGTTTCCTCCATTTGTTTTGATTTTCTGTTTATATTTCGTTGTTATTTCGTAACCAGCATAGCAACGCATAAGATCCATGTTATTTTTTTACAACTTTTAAACTTATTTTTTGTGCTTATCTTTGAGCCTATTTAAATTTATAAAGGGATTCTGCACACCTACAGGAAAATAGCTTTCCAACGGTATGCGTAGATTTTCCCTACGATGCACACGAGCTGAGAAAAAAGGTTTTAAAGAAACATGCTTGCCTATTAATATATAGATACCTTTCAATTATATACCTTTTTAAGGAAGCAATAACTTCTAACAGTATCAAAACTGTCAAAGAAAATAGTAATAAATAAAAATGCTCACGGTGGTTTAGCCTCCCCGTTGGTCTGTGTGCGTGACTGGCTCCGCCTCCATCTCTCTCTCTCCCTCTCACCCCCTGCCCCCCTCTCCTTGACACTCTCGTACATGTGGTACAGCAGGTTGTCTATTGGTCCCGGGCCAGGGGGAGGGGGGTCTCTGAAGCCCTCCGGGGGAGGGGGTACGTCACGGAACTGTCGAGGCGGGGGCAGCCTCAGCTCCTCGTAGGGATGATCCGATACAGCCGGGGCAGCTGGGGGGGATACTAACGCTTCGAGTCTAGCTCTTAGCTGGGAACTGTTGAGCATTCTGTGTTTGGCTACTTCACTTCCTAAACAAGAGACAACACGAAGGTTAGATTAGAACGAATATATAACCCAAAACTTCAAGAAATGTTATGTAAACTAAATTTGTAGATTGAATTAAATTTAACCCTCTTAAGAGTCCAACAGCTCTAATCAGTAACCGAAATTATAGCGATGTAAGTAAGTATCACACTGGCTCACCGCTGGGACCACGATTACTAGTTACAAGAACACCGATATTCAAATGTAACACACAAATCCTATAATAGTTTTGACCAGCTGAACAACCTCAGCTTTGTTAGTTGTTACCTAACACATGTGCAACCTAAGGGATGTGTCCTCAATGTGTTGGGGGTCTGCATGTCGTTGCTCCGACATGCTATAACCATTGGGATAATCCCATGCAGAAACTATTCCTGGCTTCCTGGGTAATATCAATACCTGAATACGTCGTAATATCAATATCTGAATACATCATAATTGGGATTGTGTCGTGGTAGTGGTGTAAGGGAGATGGTTCAAACAATACTAACACTGTTTAAAGACACAATTGTAAACATAACCTATATTTTACCAAACGTACAATGTAAACATAACCTATAACTACCAAACCTACACTACCAAACATAACCTATATCTAGCAAAATTACTCACCTGTAGGACTAATCTGTCCACTGCTGGTGTCTACGGACGACCTGTGACTCGACACCCAGCCACTCTGCTCTGACGTGATGTCACTCTCCGACAGAGAAGACGAGAGGAGGGGGGACCTGTGGAGGGGGGGAGGCAGTGGTGGGGCGGACACCAAATTAGGCATAGACTCGCTGCTATTGGCCGCAGTCGCAGTCAGAGGTCTCGTCCGTACCACAGCCGGCATGGACGCTGTACTCAGCGAGTGTTTAATCACTCCGTTCGTAGCCTCGCTCAGGTTGTATGGTACACTAGCGCTGGTCTCTAGCCTCGTTGTCCGGTAGTTCCCTGGGAGGGACGAGTCGTTAGAATCCGTGGACGGGGAGCCATTGCCGTTCATCATGTGGTTTCGGTCCGGCGGAAACGAGTGCAGGAGGTTTGCGCTGTTGTCTATCAAGTTGCGTGGTCGTAAAACCCTCGCGGGGATTTCCTCTTTGTACTTCATCGTGCCGTTCACCACCTGAGAGAGTTGATTGTTTAGTTTGAGAACAAAAACTGAAATAAATGTTTAATAAAAATTGTTAACAGGTCAATTATATTTATATTGGGGTTTTCAGGTGATTTGTTGGGTATTTGTGATTTGTTGATTCAATAAAATTTACATTCTTTTGTATTATAAAAAAAAATTCTCATAAAATTATTTTAAACTAAAACAAAACATATAAAAATACCTATAGGCTACTTAAAATATTATGGGTGAAAAACCAAGGGACTTACAAATGGTACCATATTTTGATATGACTATGAACTCAACTCAATCATTTGATGTATTGATGTGAGTTATCAATAAATAAATAATTTGGATCTTCTAACTGGAAATAAAAGCCAGTACTACACTAAAAATGTTTTTTTTTCATCCACAAACTATATTGGGATGCAGTTAATTTATGACGAAATTTCGGGTTGAGGGACAAAATGAGATTTTAAAGTACGTTATTGTCGTCTCACCTGAAATTCTGTCACACCTTAAATTTGTCCAGATAGCTTAGGGCCGGTTGCTGAGCTCGGGATTTAGCTAAGTTCTAGACTTAAACCGGCTTTAGACTCTGGAGTCTAAGAAATGGCTTGCTGAGATAGGGCGTTAGCGAAGTCCAGAACTTATTAGACTCCGGAGTTTATTTGGCTGGTTAGACTCTGGAGTTTAAAAATTGACTTGCTGAGTCAAAGACCTATAAGTCCAGAACTTAATTTAGATTCTCGTCTCTTGCTGAGACAAGGATCTAGCAAAATCCGTTAAGTCCAGAACTTAAAACACTACGATTTTAGATCCTCGCCAGGGGCAGGATTTAAAACTAGATCCTAGACTTAACCGAGTATAAACGCCTCAGTTTTGGTTTTGAAGTCGGTTTGTGCGCATCGTTATCATAAAATAATTTGGATTTTTGCCATTTTTAAAGCACCACAACGTAGACCAAGACAAGACATCTTGGTCGTGCACATAACCCATTGTTCGTGTTGCCTGAAGAAGAGTTTCAGGATGATTTCATCTTTCAAAATATATTACGTTTACTGTCTCCAGGAATAAGGGTTTATAATAAAAGAGCTCCACACAGCATTCCGAAATTTTTTTTCCTGACGTGACTTTTTACAGGGAAACTGGAGATCTTCTCCATTGTGTCAGAGTCTACTGCTTGTAGAGTTATCCATAAGGTACCAAAGGTAATATGCAAGATATGAAGGGCATAATTTAAATTTCCTGAAGGGGAATAGGACGAAAGCAGGCATGTTTCCTGGGGTGTTAAACAATGTCGATGGCGCTTCGTACCTATTATGTAAAATGTATATACCGGGTTCCTATAATACTCCCCTGGTTAATTTTTGAACGGCTGCATATATTCAAACGAGCTTCGATACACGTTACTAGGGCAATGAAAAGTATCTTTTGGTGGTATTTTGAAATTCACCCCCCACCCCCAAATAGGGGTTGCTAGGGGTAACTTAAGTTTTCTTAAAGGCAACCCGTATCAAGTAGCACACCGTTTTAACTTTAAGAAAAGAAAAGAACTTTAAAAAAGGAAATTAATGCTGCAAATTCAACTTTGATACGACACATTTTTTAAAAGTTGTGGCAAGAAATGTGTTAGATGTTAATTAATTCCATCACTTTTATTATCTTTTTTCATGACTTTAAATTTTCAAATACTCTTCAGTACACGTGACCGGGGTAATGTAATGCACCTTTTAACTTGACTTTAAATATATATTTGAATTTGAAATACCAAATAGGGGCTGGTATTAAAAAATCAAAACACCACCGGCAACCCGTATTTGGGGTAGGGTGATGAACGTGACATCGCCCTCACGTGAACTGAAGGTTATTTAAAAATATAGTCATGAAAAAATAAACGTGAAGGAATGTAAAGTTCAAGTTAAATTAACGTCTAACATTTCTTACAATAACTTTTTTTTATTTGTCGTGTCAAATTCAAATTTGTGGCATTAATTAATTTCCTTTATTAAAACTCCTTAAAACTATGTGCTACTTGATAAGGATTGTCGTTTAAAAATTTTAATTTATCTCCAGCAACCCCTACTTGGGCGGTGGGGGTGAAATTCAAAATACAACCAAAAAGTACTTTATATTACCCTAGTAACGTGTATCGATGCTCGTTTGGATATATGCAGCGTTCAAAAATTATTTAGGGGGATTTATTATATGGGACACCCGTATGTAAGATTGTTCGAATAAATCAAACTTCATCTTGATATTTTACGTCATTGACCTTTGGTACGCATTTTTTAGAAGAGAGGACTGTCGTTAATTATAAATTGGTATTACTTTAATTGAAAACAATCATCTTATAAAAACCTATAAAATATAAAATAACTTATGAAGTATAAAATCATGCATAAAGATTACACAGCACTCCTAAAATGGATATGAAGATAACAACATAAAATGTCATTTTTCGTTCTCTTTGTTTAAGTAATTATTAACGCAGTTTGTACAACACTATTTATTTTTATTTTATTTTTTATAAAAATCTATTTCAACTTACTTTATTCACAACCAAAATTACAAATGAATGATTTTGAAATAAATTTTAGCCTATACTGCATGTCAAAATAATGAACCATTTAAAAATGTTAAATATAAAAGCAATTCCAAACAACAAACAAGTTGTTTTTACTTTTAACTCAAAAATTTTTAACATGACCTTATCATACATATATTTTTAAATACACCTAAACCAAACAAGAATGATAATGTAGGATAGTAATGATTATAATAACAGTTAACATTAAAATTTTACTAATCTCTAGTTTACGAGGTGGGGAGCAGACGGCACGGCACGGCCGGCTATCACCCACTGCCAACATCACAACGCCAAATACTCTACGATTCCCTCAATTTTTATTGCTTTAAGTTCTGGACTCAAATAGGTCCAGGACTTATAGATCCTGGAGTTTCAGAGATAGATCTGCAACTCAGCAAGACGATTTAGATCCGAGAGCTTATTTGAGTCCTGGACTCAATAAGTCCAGAACTTATAGATCCGGAGCTCAGCAACCGGCCCTTAGTCTACTATGAGATAGTCCAGGACTCTAACGTGTTCGTTAAGTAATTATCGTTTCGAGTTTATTGGCTCAGAATATTAATTACAACAATAATGCTTACAATGTTAAGCTTACCTTCAACAAGTGCTCATCATAGCCACTCGAAAAATATGTAAAGTTAAATTTAGAATTTTGAATAACCTATCGAAATGCGAATAAGCCTAATTAATTAGAAACTGAACTAAAACGTCATTCGGTCGTTATACTTGGTAATCACCAAAGTAAACTTGTCCGGAAAATTAGACTCGGTCGATCACCAGAGTCGGTACGGGGTTTCTTAAACCAAATTTACGTAGGACGGTCCGGGGTAACGGAATAAGCACTACGGATATCGTTCTGGCAACTTAAATGATTTCCGTAGCTGGTTAAAGACAAAAGGCAGTGTGCTCGTACGTGAAAAAGCGTGCGGGTTGCGCGCGACTGCGGCACAATAAAATAAAAATAATAAAACTTCTGCAAAAATGAGAATAAACAAAACAAACTCGGTAGCACACTAACCTGATGCCTTAGGACTATACCAGGAATGGGGGAAATCTTTAATTGACCAGAATTTCGTAAGTCAGGACTGTTGGATTTATCTCCAAACAGCAAGCGTCTTGACGGTTCGGTAGCGGGTGGAGAACTGACCATGAGGTCCGCTCTTCTGGTCCTTCTTCGCCATCGCCCCTGGCGGCGGGGTAGGTAACTAGCGTCATCCCCTCTACGATGACGTAGGACCCTTGCCCCTACGATGCCGCTGACAACGCGGGCGCGGCTTACCCCGAACGTAGAAAATTATAATATTTAAAATGAAACTTTTAAAAATCGGGTTTTTACCCCTTGACGGGTTTTGGGTCGTTACAAATTATTCTGTGTGTATTGGTTTACACAGTCTTCATAAATTGTAATAAGATTATAAAAACACATACAAAAAAGGGCACTCTCTCCTTCACCCACACACTAAATAATTATATCAGAATTTTTAAATAAACAAGACACTGTACCTCTTTCATTGTTTGTTCTTTAGCATCAACATAGAACTCTAGGTTGATATCACGACTGGAGATCGGGACAACATCACGAGCAGGCACACTTCTCGGAAGATGACTGCGGCGTTTGTGATGCCCGTGTGATGGAAGGGAGAATGGAAGGGTAGAAGCATCTGTTGGAACTCTTGAGATCTTCTGATTGAACAACTCCTTTCTGAAAATTATCAATTTAATAATGATATTGGTTTAGACTCGTGAAATACAGTAGACTATCGCTCATCCGGACTAATGTGGCGGACATCTGGTCCGGATTACGTAAAATCTGGACTATCGAGAGTCGAGCAAGTACAGTCCTGTATAGTTTTTTTTCAATTTTGTTCCAGGTCCACAGTATTGATAGCCGGGCAAATGCAGTTCCACCGGGAATAATATTTACCGCATTGTTATCCGAGTTTTTGATTATCCGAGGTAGTCTTGGTCCAGTTAAGCTCGTATAGTCGGACTTCTACTGTACTGTGCCGCTAACAAAAATCACGATTGCCGATCCGGACTAGCGGGAGTCCGGACAAGGCCGATCCGGATGAGCGAGAGTCAACTGAACATTGCCTTAATAAATTATTTCTAAACACAATATTGCTCATGCTATCACATTCTCAGACACATTAACTTTTAAACTGCTTATAAACATTGTAAGCAATACCGTACTGTTTTTGTTCTGAGGAGTGTAGTCATCTAAACAAAAATGTAAATCGGTCCTGAGTCTAGGTAGTTGTTACTGCAAATATGCAGAAATTTGCAAATTTGCTAAAATACTATTAAGAGCAAAATGTGGGATGGTGTTGTAATTTAAGAGATCAGAAGTGAGGTAGTTGTTAAAAAGAGGGAGTAAGAAGAAGTGAAGAGGGTGAGTAAGATGGTTTGGAGGCGTGAGAACATTACGGGAATAAGGAATTCCTAGAATAATAAAAACTAGTGTACATGTTGCTCGAATTCGAGCAATTGCAAAGTATTACAGGAGTTATTTCAAAACGAATAACAGTCATATTTACAATGAGTTTAAAAGAGTCAACTCTGAGATTACCGGTGTGTAACTCAGACCATGTTTATCTTCATTATTGATAAACCTAAAGCATTACGGCCGGTTTTCTCCTTCTCAAAATGCCTCGCTGTACAGGCAACACAGGTCATTGATAGAGGGCCAATTGAGAACGAAAAGTCGTTTTGGGATAGTGTTAGGGCGCATTTGTAACCTAATGGTTGAGATTGTCCAAGGTCAGGTGCTGACTGTTATGAGTTAAGCCTATTACGCGCCACAGTTCTGTAGCTGCGGTCGTTATCATGATAACGCCTCCTGTCTATGTTTCGTTGTCGTCGCGTCGGAGGCATTTAAAAGAAAAAAACAAATAAACAAATTGTAGCTACACAAAACAACGATAAATGCACAAATTTAAGTTTTTTTTTTTTTTTTTTTTTTTTGTGGGGGCTGGGGTAATGGCATACCCCTAGCTACTTCGGCCTGGAGACCTTTTGTAGCACCCTTTAATTCATTCTGACAGCCCTAGGCTCCTCAAGTAGCCCAGGAGCTGAAAGACACCCAGCTTCCTTATCTCTGTTGGTTCCAGGAATAACCTCCCCAGAGATATAAGCCTTCTATGGGCCAACGCTGGACAGTCCAGCCATAAATGTTCTGAGGTTTCTACCTCGTTCTCACAGAACCTGCAGAGGTCTGTTTGTGACCTCCCTATGGTCCTGAGATGTTTCCTGATAGGACCGTGCCCTGTTAATACTCCTACTAGCAGACTAATGTCCCCTTTCTTAAGGCTCAGCAAGTCTTTCCAGCCTTTATCAGTGGGGTCGATTAGTAATTTGGACGTCCTCATACCTGGGTGGTTCATCCAGGCCAGAGCCTTTTGAACCTTGACCCAGTCTTGGACTTTGGCTACTCCTGAGCTTATGGGGGTACCACAGTAGGGTTCTGGTCCTGACAGTTGGTCTTCCGGGCCAATGCATCGGCTTTTTCGTTCCCCTCATGCCCCGAATGTCCAGGAACCCAAGACAATTTGACTTGGTTTCGCTCTGCTAACTTTTTGAGGGTGTTTTTACACCCTTTTACTGTTCGTGACTGTGTCACACATGACCCCAGCGCCTTCAGTGCTGCCTGGCTGTCAGAGAGAATAAGGATTTTACCCTTTCTTAGATTCTTGCTAATAATATTATTAGCACAGCACTCAATCGCCAGGACCTCTGATTGAAAAACTGTTGTTGTTCTGCCCAAGGCCAGAGATATTTTGGTTTTGTTACCATACACTCCCAGCCCTGATCTCTCATCCTTCCGACTTCCATCGGTGTAATAGACCAAGCATGCTCTGTCATTGCTGAAGTTGCACTGTTGCCAGTTGTCTCTTCCCCCTATTGCAACTTGGTAAGGAATCTCGAAGTCGTATTCCTTTGTCATGAGGTCTGGTGTGCCTAGTTCCATGTCCATGCTTGGGAATCCCCTCAGGATGGACAGGTGGCCAGACTGCCTCTGTAGATTCAGCTCACCTCTGCTGCCCATTTTTAGTGCAGATATGGCTGCGCATTTCTTAACTTCCAGCCCTAGTGGGAGCATGTCGAGTATTGCCTCCATTGCAGCTGTGGGACAGGATTTCATGGTTCCACAGATCCCCGAGCACGCTAGCCTTTGCAGCTGCTGCAGTTTCCTGCCAGCTACTGTCTGCTCTGCCTTAGGCCACCATACTAAGGCTGCATATGTAACCATTGGTTTGACTATGGCTTCATAGGTCCAATGTGTGAGTTTGGGACTGAGTCCCCATTTCTTGCCAAAGGTTCTTCTGCAAGCACCAAAAGCACCTGTACCTTTTGCAAGTACATAGTCAAAGTGCCTGCTCCAGGTCAGTTTCTGGTCGAGGTAAACTCCAAGGTATTTTGTTTCCTTCACAAGTTTTACACTTTTCCCCTGAATTTTTGGGGCTGTTAGGTTAGTTCTCCTTCTCGTAAAGGAGATTAGCTCTGTTTTGTCAGGGTTAATTGTGAGCCCCTCTTTGGAGCACCACCCCTCAATGAAGCTAACGGCTGTCTGGGTAAGGTTGTTCACTGTGGCTGCGTGTTTGCCTCTGACAGTCAGCACTAGGTCGTCTGCAAAGGCTTGGAGGTCTATGTCTCTCCTGTCAGCCTCTCTCAGTAGATCATCCACCACAAGAGCCCACAGTAGGGGTGAGATAACCCCTCCTTGAGGGCAACCCTGCCGAGCAATGATAGCTGTCGAGTAGCCTCCCAATTCTGCCGTCACCACCCTGCTCTTGAGCAGGGCATTTATCCAAGCTGCTACGTCGGGGGAGATGCCCCTGCTTCTGACTGCAGCCTCTATAGATTTGTAACTCACGTTGTCAAAGGCACCCTGTATGTCCATGAAGACCCCTGCCATAATTTCCTGGTGTTCTAGGGTTTCCTCGATCTTTGCCACTAGGGTGCTTAGGGCCGTCGTTGTAGATTTGCCCTTCATGAACGCATGTTGGCTCGCACTTAGGGGGTTGATAACTAAATATGCATCCCTAATGTGGCGGTTTATCACTTTTTCCATAGTCTTTAGCATGAAAGACGACAGGCAAATTGGCCTGTAGGATTTAGGCTGGGCCTGGTCTCTACCTTTTTTCAGCAGAAACGCCACCCTTGATTTCCTCCAACAAATTGGGATGTAACCTAGGGCAAAGCTGCCCCTGAACAGAGCTATCATATGATTTAAAAGGACCTCTAGTCCTTCTTGGATGAGAGCTGGGAATATTCCGTCCCCGCCTGGAGACTTAAAAGGGCTGAATGAATCGACAGCCCACTTCACGACCTCCGGCTTGAACAGCTTACTCGAAAATCTTCTAGCCAAAGCAATGTCTCTAGGTGATTTCCTATTCCAGGGTATCACGTGTTGTCCTGTTGAGTTGCCTAGTGGGGTGTTCCCTGGGAAGTGGGTGTTCATAAGGACTTCAAGAGTCTCCTCCATTCCTATTGTGTGACTCCCATCCTCCCGTTTTAATGTACCGAGCGGGTTAGGCACATCTCTCTGAAGGGCTTTTTGCAGTCTTGCTGCTTCTGGTAGGTTTTGAATCCCCTCACAGAACTGCCTCCAGGACTTCCTTTTGCTTTTCCTTATCTCTGAGTTGTACTCCGTTAGGGCTCTTGAGTAGTTAGCCCAATCCCTAGTTCTTTTGGTGGTGTTAAAGAGTTTACGGAGTTTACATCTCATCTTGTTTAGCTTCTCATTCCAAATTTAAGTTACAATCATGCTAACATGATCCGTCATGGTCATAGCAACACAAAACGACGATAAACACACAAATTTAAGATACAACTATACTAACACGATCCGTCTTGGGGGTTTTGTTTACACAAACTCAAATAGTAAATAAATGTACTCAATGCGTTTTGTTGAATGAAAAATAAATAACAGCAATTAAATTATACAGCTGATCAAAATGTAAACAATTATGTCCTTCATAAGGATAACATGGGAACTTTCGAAGCCACTGGGGCCGAGCCCAAGGGACTTTCTCAAAAATGTAAGGCCAGTTTGCAAATCTACGCGACACGCTCTTTCCAATGAGACGTCAATGGATAAAATCTGTTAAGAAATGGCGGAGGAGTTCAACCGACAAAGTTTCATGTAGCGTATTAATTATATAGATGTAGTTGATGGTGATGGCAATAGAAAAGACTTAGAAGGAGGTAAAGAGGGAATTGAATAAAGGATCAAGATGGAATATGGTAAGGAAGAGGAACAGTAAAAAATAGAAAATGGAGAGCTTAGGGACGCGTTGCAGAAAGTCAACAGTCCCGGAAGGTCAAATAATTTATACCTGTGCCGCTAGGTCAAAAACTACAATGTTTGCAGTGTCTGTAGATCAAAAATCCCAGTAAGTCAAATAGTACAGTCCGAGCTAAAAACGTGGTCTATGTTAAAGCAATTGACTTATTGGGAATTTGACCTAATGCAACAGCAGTTTTAATATAACGAAATAAGATAAAATATAAGTTCAGTTTCGCTGAGTCAACAGTGCCGGAAGGTCAAAAGTATAATCTGTTAAAAACAGCGATAGTCCTCTCGACGCATGACTTCAATAATTTCGTGTTTTGGTGTACTTAAAGTTGTGCTAAAATTTTGAAAATTGGCACAGAGCTTCTTGGTTAGTCCTACTCGATGACTATTTTGTTGGAACTTTAAACTATTTACCGATCTAATTAATAAAAATTAATATGTATGGTGAAATATTTTTAAATTGTGATTTCTAGCATGAAAAAGTTAGCATGCGAGATTTTTTTTTGTTTTTGGGTTAAGGAGGTTTTGTCTGTGGCAAAGTTGTAGCCAAAAGTGTGATGCGTAAAATATATTTTTTTGAATTTTTTACAATCAGTGGTTCAATAGATAACTTGGGTTGAAGAGGACGGCAAATTTAACATTTCGCAACACATGGAAAGAACTACATCGTACGATGCGACTGCTGAGTGGACTTTTAATTTACAGTTCTAAGAACAAGAAAAAGATGAATATACAGATCACCAGTACATTCATATTATTTATAAAACATCTTTCTGTATTACCAGCTTACATTTTTCACTTATAAGAATACATCATAAACAGGGTGTTAAAAATAAGCGGGGAGATACTTTACCTAGTAATTCCTTGGGTCAAAATAAACAGAAAATGAAGGATAACATTTTTTCAAAAATCGTTTTGTTAACCAGATATCCGCCATTTTGTATTTTTTACATACAAATATTTATCTTTACACTTTTCCAACCGATGTTTATGAAACTTGGTATGTATCCAACTTGGTATGTAGGTAGAAGAGACCCATGTTATAAAAAAAGATTCATCTCGATTCACCCTAAAATTTCAAAATTTAACACTTAACTACAATATAATATACTTTACTACACCACAATATTTACGTATCACCATAAATCTTTAATAAAATAAAACGTTCACATTTTTAAAATCCAAAGTAAATCAATATAATCATATAATCAATATAAAAAAGTGCACTAGTACTTACTAGTGTCCAATAACAATTTGATGGATTTAACCAAAACCTTTTCTATTTAACTTATTTTCAGCTGTTAAATTTCAAACGATACATTTTAGCTACATCATTAACATTATTATCATCATCATCGTTTGAGTTTGGGTTTGCGGCAATGTATTTTTATAATTAAAACCTTTAATTTGATACCTACCAAACTTGACCTCTGCTGCTATTAATTGACTGTATGGACTATTAATTAACAGCTGTGTCTAAGGATTATGTCGGCCTTAGTCACTAACAGGACAACAAGATCGCTCCACTCATCACACACTCAACTCCATTCATACTTGGCTTAAAATGCATACATTTGTATGGTCGCCATTTCAAAAACAGGTAAAATAGTATTAAAATTATAAAAGAATTTTGTCTTAGTCTTTGTGGTCCATCCCCTTAAGTTTAAACAGTGATAATAGCTTAAGACAGTAGATATTTATGGCTATTATATTATTGATATACCAAGTCTCACTACTTTATCTATATTGTTAAAAAAATATAGCCAATCCAGGACTTTTCAACCATACTGTATAACGCCAACACGAAATTTTTTCGTTGAACTCCTCCGAATTTCTTAGGTGATTTTGACCATTCATGTCTCATTAGAAAGAGCGTGTCACGTACATTTGCAAACCAACCTTACATTTTTAAATCCCTTGGGCTCAGCCCCAGCGGCTCATGTTATGAACCCATGTTATGCCTATGAAGAACATATTGATTTATTTATATTAGGATCAGCCCAGTTAATTGCTGTTATGCAATTCAAGGAAATAATGTAGGTTACATTATTAACATGTTACTGATTTGTTTCAAATACTATATTTACTATTTCTATTTGGGTTTGCAGGATAATTTAATCCATTTTACCAAAAAATAAAATTAATGGACAAAGTACTATATTTCATGAGCTATCATTGAAAGGACCGATTGAAGTCCTCATCAACCAAAATAATGCCTACTAAAGCAATTAAAATTGAGACTAACATGTAATGCACGAAATCAGGTGGTTCTTAAGTATGTGAAAAAATGTATACCTATTCAAAAACAGACGGAAAACTTGTAACCATATTCTTGACAACGGGTGTAACCATGTAACATGGCTACATTATCAATGACAAACGTGGACAACCTTATACGAGTGTGAGTACGTCCGAAAACAGAGTAAGTCCGAAAACAACTCTAAAAAACAATAAGCAATAAATTGCAAGAACCGTTGCTTATATCATTGGGTACGGTATACACGTATCCACTGACGTGTATACTCAATGCTTATATCGAACTGTTATATGTACATCGTGAGTTGTTCCATTAGTTGTTTCATTTAGTTGTGTGTCCATTAGTATAGTAGTTTAGTTGACTCTTTTAAAGTCGGCGGAAATTGTGACTGTTATTACCCTTGAAATAATGTTTGTGAAGTACTTTGCAATCCTATCAATGCTTATAGAATCATACGATTACAATTTTCTGGTTAGAATATGTCGCATAGAGTGGTGACTAATGTATCTTTTTGTTTTGCTTGTAAAACAGGATCAACAGAGATTTTCCATCGACTTAAACAATACGATACTCCCAAATTGTTCATTGCAATAACAAAATATCACACAGTTTGATGAATATTTGTGTGTAAACCACATACAGTACACCTTTATTCTATCTATTTTACCTTTTATTTTTCCAAGACTTTATAGAAAATCACGCATTACGTGATCAGTGAAGAAAAGGCTGTATCCCATGTGTTTTATAGGTAAAGAAGACAAGGGCGCTCCTAGACATATATTTTGGGGGGGGGGGGGGTCACCGGGGGCCTGGGGGGTATGGAATACCCCCCAAAAAGGAGGGGGTCTTGGGGTTCCCCCCAGGAAAAAATATAAATAAATAAATATAGGCTATACAGGGTGATCAACTCAAGGAGGCCACCGTTGGGATATCGGAAACGGTAAAAATTAGAGAAAACTTAAAATGGAAGACATTCCTTTATTTTTTGTGGCAGTTTAAAATATGATTTTAGTCGTTTGAAATTCAGCCGCCATTTTCCAAAATGGCGGCCAAATTTGAAATTTCTTATCGAACACCCTATATTTTATCATGTTTCCGGACATAATAGGCAATTTTAAAACTTTTTTATCCTTGACATTTTTTCGATAAACCCACTCGTTTAGGAGTTACAGCCTATGGAAAAATGACTTCCGGTGTACATATTAAATCATGTAGCTCCTAAACAAGTAAGTTTAAAGCAAAAATACGAGGAGTAAAAAAGTCTTACAATTGCATCCACATTCCAAAAAGACCATAAAATTAATTCAAAATATAAATTATATTATTTAAAAAAATGGCGGCAAACTTGAAAAGTGGAAATTTTATAGTCTTTAAGGAATGAAGATGCAATTCTAAGACTAATTTACTTTTTGCAATTTTGCTCTAAACTTACTCGTTTAGGAGCTACATGATGTAAAATGTACACCGGAAGTCATTTTTTCATAGGCTGTACTCCTAAACGAGTGGGTTTATCGAAAAAGTGTCAAGGCTAAAAAAGTTTTTAAATTGCATATTCTATCCGAAAACATGATAAAAAAACTAAAATCATATTTTTAACTGCCACAAAAAATAAAGGAATGTCCCCCATTTAATGTTTTCTCTAATTCTTACCGTTTCCGACTTCCCAATGGTGGCCTCCTTGAGTTGATCACCCTGTATATATGAATTTGAACGGGTGGTGTTTTTTGCCTCTAGGGACCTCAAAACGAAAAATTAAATCGGTCCCGGGTCCAGGTGTTACCATAAGTACTACGGTAATAGCTTATTCCCTATATGGGAAATTCGCCAAAAACCTAATAGTTATATAGAACAATATTTCATTCAACCAGCTGTTAGTTAAAACAAATTATATGGGACTAAAACAAATCGATGATTACAAAGATTCCTTTAAAAAATAATTTGAACATCCTACTATTTTTCTATGCAAATTTAAATAATCTGCCATCCTCATACCTAGGGATTGAATGTATCAATGGTCAGCATTACACATAGTATAAATAAGTCAACTCTAAATATGTCTTTAAATTTGTTTCCAAATGCTGAATTTGTGTCACAAATGCTGAATGTTTACAGCTGTTATGCTAAGCAAATTATATTGTACTAAAAGCTGGCTTAGAAGGTTAGCGTCGGCTGCTAGACTTTAAAAAAATTAAAACTTAATTTCTAAAAAACTGGGACCCTTAATTATAATTATGGCTTTGACATTCCCTAGTTCTCAAAATTATCTTTCTTTCAACACAAAAATGATGAAAATCCGTCGACTGGTTGATTCAGAATGTGAAAAAACCATATTTACGTTTTAATAATATATATAATAGTTTGGACAGGTTTCAACCCTTCCGAGGCGTAATACATTTACACAGATTATGTGTAGACTACATTATAACTTATAAAATAGTTCTAAAATTAAATGGATCTCCTTTTACAAACGTATATAATAACCAGAAATTTTCAGATCGTCCTTGCGTGTATTTTATGCCACAAATTTTGACGAAAGGCTTTTCATTACATAAACTATACCTATTTACAGTTTTGACCAAACAGTTGGCAAGAAGCATTAATAGATAAGCTATGTACCAAATATGATAATTTTAGCTCTATTCTAACTATGACAAAACACGAAGTAACTAAAAGCAAGTTTTGTTGGTGTAGTAAGCGTTGCAGGAGGTCTACTTTACACTGAATCGACGTTCACTTTTATTGCTTTTGATCTTCCGGCACTGTTGACTCAGCGAAACTGAACTTGTATTTTACCGTATTTCGTTATATTAAAACTGCTGTTGCATTAGGTCAAATTCCCAATAAGTCAATTGCTTTAACATAGACCACGTTTTTAGCTCGGACTGTACTATTTGACTTACTGGGACTTTTGATCTACAGACACTGCAAACATTGTAGTTTTTGACCTAGCGGCACAGGTATAAATTATTTGATCTTCCGGGACTGTTGACTTTCAGCAACATTCCCGAGCTTAGTAACACCAAAACGTTATAGTTGACAGCTTAGAGGACAAGGATGTACTCATATATTAATTTAATCTGTAAACAGGACTGAAAATTAGGTTTGTACATCATGTATTGCTTACCTGTTCTGGATTGGTGTAAGGTTGCGGAAGAGATTGTTAGTCTCTGGAATGCGGTGTTTGGTCCCGTGGGAAGGCGGCAGTGGAAGTGTGAAAAACTCAGGGTTGTTTTCCGATCTGGAAGGGTTGTTCGTCCGTTTCGCCCCTCTTGTAGGCAACGTTGCAGAATCAGTTGGTGCATTGTTGAAATCTGTATTTCTGCTGATTAAACTAAACAAAACATTATGGTTATGTTTAAATATATATGATACAATGGATAATATTTTAGAGAATTTGAAGCAAATATTTGATATAACTAGGGTTGTTTTAGCATGAATTGAGTATAATTTACATATTACAAATACAATAGGTGATCGTTTTTGAAAGCTTGAAAATTATTAAAAGTAGAAGAGAGGATTATGTAGTGTATTATGGAGTTTGAAATAAAAACAGAACTTTGCTTCCAAAAGGCAAATAACTGCTTTCAGGTTATAAAACACCAATTTTCCCTCCAAGGAAACAACAACGACTTCCCTAAAGATTTATATTATTCCTTTTGCACTGAAATTTAAAAAAAATGTATTGTGTAAATTGGGTGTATGCTGGGCAATGGTGGCATAGTGCCTTGGACTAGGTCAAAGGGCAAGGTAGCTGGAATTTAACCCTGTATGCTTCCCAGCTAACAGCCAAAATTACTGATTGAACAAAACACTTACCTTCCTTAGTTGAAAATAATTTCAATAAAATATTCTAACGTTTTGTGTTTTTTGTGCCACATTGGACTTTTTCCCATTGATGTAAGTCTGCTAATATTATTTTTTACTAACAATAGTGTGATGGCCAGCAGGTAATGGAGGGAAAACTACGTACCTTTTGCTGTTATAGTCAGCGCTGTGAGGCAGTGAGATGGTAATGTCTGTCGCAGGAGTTCGTAACAGCTGATCCAAGGACTTGCTGTGCCTAGCCTGAGGCATCAGTGTTAGACTTGCCTCCAGCACATCGCCTCTTCTGGTGTGCCTCTCCTCGCCTACACCTGTCAAAGCAAGGTTGTATTACCAGTACCGTATGTATTAGAACCCAAATATGAGTGTAGAATGGAGTAAGACCTGTGTAGCTTTGTTACTAAAATCAGCTGTTTTGTTGGCAAGGTACACACACAGGTTTCACAGTGTACATTTCCCATGTTTCATACTGTATTGCATTTAAGTTTAATTATTGCAATCAGTTTTGCATAATGATTGTGATTCAATGATCAAGGACAGCTGGGTCAAGTTTTGGTTTCAAAAATGTTTGGTTTAGAGTTTAAAAACTTACGATTTTGAGCACTATAATCGCTCGGCTACCAAGGTGTATTGTAGGATACCATGAGATTTGAGATTCCAGAATCAATTGAATCTGTAGTTTAAATATTTTCTTTGAATTTAGTGGATTCGGTTTGACATTAGTTTTCAGGATTTTGCGACATGAGTAAAGATATATGGCTGAAAAAATCCCTTTGGGACCACAGGTTTTTTGGTAAGCATAGTTTGGCGAAGGTATAGAGTTAGAGATTGATCTGGCACAATACACTATTAGCTAATTATCCTTGTTTAAGACTCACCCATTGGAACCGATATACCAGCGGCCAGTCTGTTCCCTTGTTTAATAGCCTTCTGTGACCTCGACTCCAAGATGGCCGCTATGCCACAACTGCAGTCCTCCTGCACTGGGTTGGACGTTGACAATAAAGACTTGCTATCCAGCTTGTTGGAGTCAGTCACCCCACAAGTGTTAAGAAACGGATCTGTAACAAATTTGTAGATCAGTTATATAAAAGAGAGGAAAACACTTACTTATGTACTTTTAGTTATCTAGTGGAGTTTTTAATATCCCTGCTTTGTTTATCTGACCTTCCAAGGTATCTGACTCTCCCTGTAGCTATTAATTACAGAGAAGTTCGCTATTTATATTGGGTATGACTGTACACCATAGCAAGTATGTTGAGACAACCCCTTTTTTCACCCTTGATAGTACTCACTCTGACAATAATTTCAAATTTCAATACTCTGGATTGTAATTTCTCACTTTCTGATTGTTTTCACAAGCTATACAGCAAAGTATACAGTTACAGTTGTTGGGAGTGCATTATTTAATTTTTCCGGTATTTTTTACGTAATTTGTGATGACGGCTTTTGCAGTAGAAATTCTCAGAGGGTTTTCAATTGGTTTTCATAATATCTGACCATTTTGCTTATACCACCTTGCTGCGGCTGGTTCAGGTTGGATAATTGAGACTTTACTAATGAGAAGTGGTTTTATTTTACACTACCGGTACCTCGAATTTCAGTAAAAATGGTATTGTTTACAAGTCATCATACACTTAGATGCTCAACATTCAAGTCAAAACAGTATTATGAATTTAACATCAGTTTTAACACAGATAAGTATGGTAGAGAAGGAAACACACTTATGGGCTTTCAGCTTTCAGCTTGAATTAAATAAATAAATATAGGATGGAGAGGACACAGCTAACTCACCTGATGAAAGGTTGCAGATGAGTCAAAGAACACATAAAATCACACACATAATTTACTTAATATTTCGCCTCTTTCAGAGGCTTCTTCAGCTGAAGAAGCCTCTGAAAGAGGCGAAATATTAAGTAAATTATGTGTGTGATTTTATGTGTTCTTTGACTCATCTGCAACCTTTCATCAGGTGAGTTAGCTGTGTCCTCTCCATCCTATATTTATTTATTTAATCCAAGCTAAATGCTTTTTCCTAAAAACATAACCTTAAAGCTTTCAGCTTGAGTATTTTGTTCTAGAAATATACTTGTAGCGAGCAATGAAGAGCCCAAGCAGCGAGCATGTGCGAAAATCCCTATCGCACTGGGTATTCCTCCACCGTGAGCGTTGTTGTACATGAGGACAAGAAGGGTGGTGTTGGACATTGCCCTAGACACCAACACTAGTGCTAGACACCACTTAAGTGTACCATTGACTGTTTCCTCTTTACCTTACTTCTCTGCAGTTTTAGAGAAATTGCAAATATATAGACAAGAACCCACCGCTCCCAGCCTTTCTGCCGGCGACGCTTCTTCTCCTGGCAAACTCAGACACTTCTTGGTATTGGTCCTCAAATATGATAGGTAGAGTGTTGATATCTCCGTCCAGCTCTGCACAGTGCACGGGCAGGTTGGGCAGAGCGGAGAGGTAGCGTGACCTTCTGGCCAAATCACTGACGGCCAGGTAGCTCTGGTAGTTCTGGTCGTAACAGCCAGCCGCACTGCCTCTCGGGTTGTCTAGCACAAAAAACCCTTCGGCAAACCTCTTGACCTGCCAAATGATAAAATATTGTAAGATGTAAATATCTAGGACGATTGAAGGAACAGTGACTTTAATTGTTAGAAATATTTAAATGAAATGTAACCTGAGTAATTGTTAGGAGAAGTGTGAATATAATTCATCAGACAACCATGTTTTCCATGTTTGAGAGCATGGCTAATTAATGATTGGTGAAATAATTTGATCTAGATCACTTTTCACTTGGTGTGTTCCGCGCCTAGGAAAACTCAGCTTAAGCAACTTTGTTACTGACTAATATCAGCTGCTTCTTAAGCCAGACTATTCTTTAGCCCAATGATCAGGGATGGGCCTAGTATCAAACTATTAAAAAGCTACTGGCTCTTTTCAAGTTTGTTCAGCTGTTGCGAAATGTACCCACCCTGAGGTGATGGTGTGTTCTCGCCAGATGTTGGTGTACCGGTTCTTTGCCAGAGAACGCCTCCAGGAACTGTTGCCACAGCAGAATGTTCTCCGCACACAACTGGGCAATGTCGGAGTTGGCTAGTGTGACAAACTCCTCCTCCCCTTCCACCATCTGCGGACAAAACACAATAAACAACCGAGGAACGCAACCTTTGATGCTTTCCATCGAACTCTCTGCAGTCGAAAAATGTAAAATTGTTCAAGTGTAGAATAAGGATTTTTTTTGTAGGGTGTCCCATGAAGAGATTACAATTTTCAAAATTATATCCCAGACACATTGAACAAGCTACAAAATTGAAATTCCACTTGATTCTGACTAATCTAATAAAAAACGTGGACCTTCAAAATGGTATGTTTTTTTATTTTTGTAAAAATAAACAAATTAATTTTTGTTTTTACGAATCTTTCTTTAGTATACAAATCAATCAAATCAATCAATACAAACATGCCAATTACATTAGTTGTACTTTTACCATGCATTACAAATTCTGTTGTGTTAAGTTATTATAAAACCCCTCCTTTTTCTTAACAAAGTAAAGTTAAAAGGCAAAAAGGGAAGGTTTACGTTAGAATAGTTGTGAATGTTCCTTCACGAACCTGAAATTATTTTAACATGTTTTCTCTTTGTTCTACATTACCTACATGAAATACTACATAATCTGGAAAAAAACTACACAAGAACTAAGCAATAATCATGTACTACTTTTTATAAGATTACTTTTACTCACTTAAAATTACTAATAAACAAAACAATTGATAATTTCATAATCACTATCTCTATAAACATATTCCCACGTGGACGAAACAATTGAACTTAGTAGCCACACTTTTGCACAAATAGACAGCAAAACAAACAAGTTAACCCAAAGCCATTCATTACACAACACATCATTGAAGCGCTAAATTATACAGTGTTATGCAGCAAATAAGGCAGCGTTATGCAGCATGAGAATAATGCAGCGTAGTATAATAGGTTACCCGCAGCCGGTCCCAATGTGCCTGAGTTCTCAGTTTCGACGAAGGTCGGGAGAGTAGAGCGCGTTGGCAGTCCTTTAACAGACAAGTCGACAGTTTGACAAGATACAGAGGATGTGAAGGAAAAACTTTAATAAAAATAGTCGGTTGATTTAGAATGGAATGGAAACCAGAAGATAGTGGTTCTGTAAATACACTGGATCGAACTAGTTACCTCCTATGGATTAGGTGCAGCCCGACGACTCACTATACCTATATATAGCTCCATACCTCTGGGTAACTAACATTATGTGAGAATAGAAATAAGTGACATAATTAGGGTGTATTAACTCAAAAAAACTATTTGAGAAGATAGCTGTTCCTCTTAATTCTACAATTCAAAACTCTGGTCTAGACTCTAGTTCTATTAGATACGCAAATTTGTTGTGTGTCTTACCTTAGCAAGGTCGCTGAGGTTGGCCAATCGCTGCAGACAGTCCAGAGTGGAGGGGGTGGTGGGGGGAGGCTGCTGCCACTGAGGTAACAGCTGGGAGAATGTCTGCGTGTTCTGGGTGAGAGCCTCGTAAGCAGCCAGCAGCAGTCCGCAGACCTCACGGTGGACGTGACGAGCGTGCGTCAGTCTACTGCCTCCGCTACCGACACACTTGGTCCCACTGCTGCCACTCTGTAGCACAAAAAGAATCAGTGATGCTGATCATCTGTTATTACCGTTTTCCTACGCTAGGCTCTAACCCAACCGTTTTCACATTACTTCAGACTAGGCCTAGGGGGTCGGGGCATTATCACTTGGATAAAATCCATTAGTGATTTTGGCTTGACGGAGACAGAAGCCCCACGCTCTACCACTAGACCAGCTTGTTTCCCATCTGTTATTACAGTGTTGCCAACTCACCACCAAATAAAGTAACTCTCTAGATGCCTCGCCGAACCCTTAGAGAATTTTAAGTTCCACACATCAAATCAAATCCTCTTTATTATTTATATACAAGTTATGTTCATGAACCGTGTAATTGGTACTATTTTTTAATAATTCCACAACTTATACATTAAAAGTCACATTCATTTTTAAAGTGGATCAATAAACTGCTAATTTAAAAATCCATCATCACTCTATGGAGTTAAATTAATTATAGATTTTGCTCATCAGAAATCTAAATAATAAATTGCAAATTATAATTTAGTAAATTTGAAACCGGTGGTATTTTTTTACAGTCATAGGTTTACACATTGTAATTAATTTTCTGTATTTATTTGAATTTTAATCGTATATTTATCCACCTTGGACTTCTGTTTTGTTATCCTCATGAAAATGCTGAATAGTTTAAATATGTACACGGAAATCAATCAGCTAAATGTTCTGATCAGAAGACGTGCTCGGGTGCTCCGTTTTCCGCAGTATGAAACAGCTGCAGTTTGGAATACCAACAGATTATTCTGACAGCAACACATTACCTACACCTTTAATTGTTATGTTTATCTTATGAAAACTTACTAAATTTCCGAAGAAGACGGTCTCCATGGTCGCATGAGGTTGTCTGAAGTTGAATCTCTGGTGATTTCCCAGCCAATTCTTGCCACTACGCGGAGTGCTGCAAATAAAGTGTTTAAGAATAAGTATTGTATTTGTAATAAAAAATACAATCATTACAATATGTATTGTAAATGTAAAAAAAAAAAAATATTATCCTTGTGCTACTAATGCAGAATTATCACATCTCTCTAAGCACAGTTCAGATATTATCTGAGTAGAACACTTTCTTAAATAGCCACTCAGCAATAGGTTTTTGGTTTTTTTGTCCAGAAACAGCCTAATGTTAATATTTACGACTTCAACAACTTAGTAAATAAAAAAAACATTATTTTTTTTTTTATGTCCTGCCTTTACATTGAAAAGGTTTTTTCACATTAATTCTAGGAGGGATTCAAAGCAAGCACCTAGCATACCGAACTTACAATACAACAGTAACAGCAACTACTATGTACAGTAACACAGAAGTAAGGTACAGAGGAAACATTCCATGGTGGACTTATGTGGTGTCTTGCACTAGTCGCTGGTGTCTAGGGAAATGTCCAACACCGCCTCCTCACCATCTACAGCGCTCATGGAGGAGGAAGGCCCTGTGCAATAGGAATTTCCGAACAGTCCTCGCCGTTCAGGCTCTTCCTTGCTCGTCACAAGTATATTTCATTTCCGGCACAACATACCAGAGCTGAAAGCGCACGGTCGTCCCATAAGCGTGTTTCCTCTGTGCCTTTATTCTCTGTGCAGTAGCTAATAGTACCACACACTACCACTAGACCAAATCTTTCTCCCTGTAAATCTTCATTGAGTTGTTACTGTTTCAACATATTATTATTTGTTTATTTTTCATTTGCTTTAATTATTCCTGAATTTGTCACTAAATTTTAATCGCTAACACTAAAATTGTAACAAAAAATATTTATAGTTTTACCAAACTTTCCTCAAGTTTGATCGTGTTCATGAGAAATTATAATTACAGTTTCAAATGACGGCAATCACTTTTTAGCAGAACCAATTAAGGTTTTGCATTTCATCAAGCGAACAAAGATAATTATCAAAGAGTTTCCAAAGTTTCAAGAGGAATCAGAAGTTTTAGTTAAACTGTCGGCAACTTGTGGTGAGAGTGAAGGTTGGATGCTGTAGACAACAGAGAGAGAGAGGGCGAGAGAGAGAGAGAGAGAGAGAGAGGACATCACTCTGTAGAGATTACAGGATTGACAACTGTGAAAAAACAAGACCAACAACTTTAATTCTCTCTTCCCTCTCCCTCGGAAAACAAAACAAGTGCTTTAACTTTTAAAAGACTTTGTTGGAAAAAAATATTGTCAGTATTAGTCATTTACTTAGAACTGTAAACATTATTGTTAAAGTCCAAGGGTAAAGTGAAAATTATATTTATTCGTATTGTACATCCAACACATGCATTTGTGTACACTATTTATAGGACAAAGTGAGAAAATCTATTTTTTACACTGTTAAATAAACCGTTCCATGCAATGTGTACATAAAAAATAAAAATGTTAGTACTTTTAAAATGTTATTTTAATATAAAAAAGAGTGAATTTATAATGTGTAAGTACAGTTTCAATTCAAGTACACTCTGTAGGTGTTTTGTTACAATTGAATAAGATTTTGTAAATTGTGCAGCGAGACCAAATTATAAGAAAACAAGCAACTACACATTAACAAACAATCAACTCATAAAAAAATACTTTATGTATGCTATACAACACAAAAAAATAAATTTGATTATACAAAGGATAAACTAACATTTTAACACTAGAAGTATGAATTTATTTCTAGAAAAAAATGTATTTTAAAGATGCAGTTGTAGATTATATACAACTAGTGCACTTGTTGCTCGAATTCGAGCAATTGCAAAGTATTACAGGCGTTATTTCAAAACGAATAACAGTCACAATTGCCGAGGACTAAAAAAAGAGTAAACTCAAAGATAATGTAATCACTCACCCCATTCCAGTTATCTAAACTGGAAACGAACTCACTCTGAAAATGAACGGCTATGAACAGCTGTAATTAATACAAATTATTTGTCTGTTTAAGTAAACAAAGTTTTTTCTTCATAAGAAATACATTGGGATTTTGATGGCTTGTGGGGCGAAGCCCGAAGACTTTTATTACAGGAATTGGTGAAAGGGGGCGTCTACACAAAAAATACTTCATTTTGACACCTTGTTTGTAAAAATCCGTCCATTATTAACGGAGGAGTAGTGTTTCGTAGAAATCGCCTTCATGTATTATATATGAGGAATTATTGTAGTTTGAATGGTTGTAGAAAGGTATACTAAAATGATTCAATCGAAAATGAATTAAAATTTTCATAACATCATAATACAGATTTAACAAATAGCCTTATTACTTTTAGATATTTAGTTAGAAATAATTAGCTTAAGTTTGTGCTTTTAATAAAATAATACTGTAAAAAAATATGAAACAGCAAACATACAACAGAAGAAAAAACCCACACTGGTAACTCAATCAAGATGATAGGTATTGGTTTTATTTGTTTGATCCCAATTTCATCAAGACCGGAACATTTTTACAAGAGTGCTCACACATATTCACCATATACAATTTAAGCAAATTATATTTTTAGCCTGGGCCCTAAAAAAATCTTTGGACCTTGCCAATAGATATGTTTGTTAAAATATCAAAATAAAAAACTAAATGGCCTATATTGATGTTGTAAAATATTTTCATGCTACACCTACCATGCTGGAAAAACAAATGCAAACACATCAACCCTGAAATACACTTACCAGCTTTGAACTAGATGTAGAATGCTTTTCCTGCCCAGCGGAAAAGTAAAATTGCATTAGTTTGAAAAACTTTATATTATACAAGTCATTAAATGTGTTTTAAGTACCCTCTATATTTTTGTTTTAACAATTGTACTTGCCTTACAAGTATTCAAACACAGCACATCCAGTTATGAGCTAAATAACACTTGGCGACTTATTATTTAAAATAATATACAGTAGAACTGTATGAATAGAATAAGATATTCCGCTTTAAAACATAACTTAGTTTATGAAGAATTTAAAGCCATATATTACTGTATTCATTTTTCAAATGTACAAAAATAATGTCTTAAAATTCTAAAAATAACCAAATATTGCTGTTAAAACCATGTGAATGGTTTCATCACTTGACAACAGCTTAACTAAAGACCCTCAGACAAAGGGAATTTTTAGTTGAATAGAGTTTATATTGTTGAAACATCCAAATACCGTAAATAAGTGATTGACTAAAAACCTGTTACTCAAACAACTTAAATACCTATAAACTTCCCAAACTATGCATGGCATGATAAAACAAACGGATGACAAAGTAAACCAATTTGGATGCGCTACAAAAGACGTCCACTTAGCCGGTGGCTAACTGCGTCTATCAATCACATCCACATGTCTCATCTCCGTAAAACCGCTCATGTCACTTCAAATTGTGACAGAGAAATTTAATAAACTTTCAACTTCCTATGTATGACAATCATGAAGGATGTCAGCGTACAAATCATTATTACTACCATTTACATAATTTACTACCATTATTTTCATTGCTGATGATAATAGTAGTGTCAATATTTGTAGAAATTAGCCCAACATTGAGTGTTGAAATGAGGTGATTTTTTTATTGATCAAGATCAGCTGTTTTTCATAGTCAGAAACTAGCTTTTTTCTCTTCTTGTAAAAAAAATGTTGTGGGTTACAATATATTTTATTTTCTTAAATGTAGCATACATTAAATTTATTGTTTTGCTGTGCGGAAGATGGACTCAATCCCTAACCACAGGCATTAGCCCATTTGAGTTTTTTTCGCACCATTGTACTAATTCTCTGTACTGAAATAAAGAATTCATTCATTCATTTATTAAAAGCCGAATGATGTATGTTAAAACTTGGTTTGGTTTCAACGACATACAACTGTTTACTCAGCTGCAATATTGGTTTGGTAAGTAATTGCTTTATTTACAGACCATATCTAGAATTTAGTAATACCTTTATTTTCTGTGACTATGTTTTCAATACATTTTTAGCATATTAAAGTTTAATGTATACATTTCATTAATATGCATCCATCATTTTATTACTTTGTATCACTATTCATGATAAGCAGATTTTTTAAATTAGGAAAGTTTTTTAAAAGTCCAATAATAACGGACAGCTGGCCCAGTTTTGAACCATCAAAAGCTACTACCTCTTTAATAAAGTCAACCTTTTTTTATTAAAGGGACTGAGCCCTTTCCCTTGAAATTTGGAAGACTGAGGCTTTTCCCTCCTTTCTTAAAATTTGGGTGACTGATCTCTTTCCCTCTTTTCTTTAAAATTTGGGTGACTGATCTCTTCCCTCTTTCTCTTAAAATTTGGAAGATTAATATCCATTTCCCTATTTCCTTTACTAACAGAAGTCATGATACAACTAAGTACTGACTTGATGTACGGCTGGTGCAGTGCGACCAGGCTGGCGTGGATGGTGACAGTGATGGCTGCCAGATGGAAGTAGTCGAACAGCACAGGCAGATGGTAATGGAGACCTCGGGTGGCGGAGAACTTGAGCTGCAGGTTACGACTGGACACACACGTCATGGCGCTGTGCTGGTCCGGGCCGAACGTCTGGTCCGTGAACCACAGCTCCACTGACAGGCTGAAGTCTGCACGGTCCAGCGTCTCCTCTATCTGTGAGACAGTTTATTTTTTTAGAGGATAGTAGATCCTTTTAAATTTGCTTTGGCTAGTACATAGATCTCAGGCCCATGTGTGTAACGGCCAGCAAAGCAAGGATTGAGCTGGCACAGTACAAGGGTAAAGGGTGAAGTGTATTGATAAAAAAGAGTGGTAGCCACCAGAATCCGAACCTACTAAATTGCTGCCAAGAATCCAAAGTCCGTGGCTCTACCGGCTGTGCCAATGACAAGGAAATAGATGTAGACTATTAATTTCAAGTACGTATATTACAACAAGCTCTTTTTTTTGCGAAGCTTTTGTAAATCTGTGACAAACTCTACCTACGGCAGAATGTCTCTTCTGGGCTGGACATAAGTCTTTATTTTCCAAGGATTTGTTTATCAGGTTGGGTGATGGGGAAATATCTTGGTCTGGCCCAAAAGCTTTGAATTAATTTCAGTGTAAAGTTAGAAGCAAAGTAAAATTAAATTCTGTTGTTTAGTTTTAGATTATCATTCTTCACTGACTATTTTTGGTAAGAGTCAGAATGGATTATGGAAAACAGTTAAACTGAGAATCGCTCGATAGTGGAAAGTTTTTGTTATTTATTAATTTACTGTGGGAAGGCTTAACCTTATATGTAAACATTCTATGTATTCTAATTATATTGGTTGTCAATATTATATTGAGTGCCTGATTTTCCTGGCTGTACACCTATTAAAATTTACCAAACTGGGGGACGTGTTTACAACATTTAATTTTGTGAAATTGCAGTAGTAAAGGATTTTATTCACTCAATTTTTTTTTATTTAAAATGTGCAAACCTTGGTGGCCTTGGTGGATGTTCCATTATAATAATTCTTAATTTGTATATTTAAGTAATTTGATTTGTTTGTCTTCATAATTTCAAAGGGGATTAAACGATTAAAAACTACTTCAAAGGACTATTAGAAATATCAGACTCGCACCTAAAAGATTGATCCTGATAATTAAAAATTTTAAAATACATCAGCAAGTCTAGTGGACACATAGAAGTACAGAAGTAAAAGGACGTCCACTGGGGACAGTTATCATTTGGCAGAGTGAATGCAGGAGCAGGAAAAGGAACAGGAGTGGTACAGTCATATGATAAATTGAAACCTCCTGGCTATGGGCCAGGGTGGTTGGAATAATTGATAACTGGAACGTAGACTCGCTGTTCTGACGTTTAATATTCACTTTGCAAACGTACAACGATCATCCATACGTAAAACGACACAGACAGGTAATGAATCAAGAACGTTCAAAGCTGCTTTGAAGCGGCTTTTCTACGAATTGGCTTGAGGAAATCAAATTAAATATTTTGGATAGTCATCACTGATTTGAAAAGAACCTTTTCTGTCATTGGTTTGTTGGATTAATTTCTGTGATGAATGACATTTATGACACTTGGTAAATTTGGCAAAAATTTGTTGGCGTTTAAACCATTGGTAATTAAATGATAATATATTTTAAACCAACTAAAATGTAGATTTAAAAATCACATGGGTTTTGTTGTGTTGAACTTAAGTTAAAATTTAATATAAAAAATCAAGATTATTTCAAATAGCTTGAACATCCTTGAGGCAAAACATGGAACTAGTAAATTGTAAACAAATTAATATTAGTAAGACGACAAAAAAACTGACACATTATTGAGGGACATTGTGTAAAAATAAATCCTTTTAATATACTTAGGACACAATCTAATAATAGTTCTGTTCACTAAAAAACCTTAAAAAACTAAAAAAAATAAGTACGGAAACAAAAATTAAAATAACACAAAACCAAAATATTACAAATTTGTGAAAAAGTAATAAATTAATCAAATAAACAACTTAAATAGGCGAACAATTACGAAACAAAAATGATAAATAGAAGAAACAATAAATTAAGTAGAAACTTTTAACTATATCTTATTTTAGCACCTAACCTAGAAGACCCTAAACCATAGTATACATATTTCATATAAAAAATAATAATTTTTAAAATAATTCCCACAGCCCACAGTGACTTACCTTATGGCTGTCAACCAGGATATGAGCCCTGAACATGATGGCATCGTCCAAGCACACCTCCTCATTGCGGTAAAGTATCTGAAAAGTCTTACTGACTCCTGCACCATTCACTACACACGCGGGGAACACCAGCTCGGACTCTGCAATCACACAAAGTGTTTAAAATAAAGCTTCATTGAATATATATATATATACCCCCACCAGTACCACAGCAAACCTGCAGAATATTTAATTTTACATTAGTTTCAAGATAGGTTTGTTGCTACTGGGAAAGTAATTGAGTAAAAGGTTCAGTATGAAATATATACGTTTTCAAAATTTGATCAAAATATTGTCATAAACAAGCAAGATACGACAGTTTACTTATTTTCCATAAAAATAACATGGTCATTTTAAATTAACAGTTTTTTAGCAGCAAACCTGCAGACTGAGCGGATTTCCATTTGTCTGATTGGATGTACACTAATATGTCTCTTTTAAAATATCACATTTATTTCCCATTTGAATAGAATATGTATATTGAGTACTTAGGTTTGCTACCAAAGGGAAAGGTAATAAATAGAGGGTTTTTAGGTAGAAAAATAACGGTCCAGTATGAAATAAATTTGGTAAATTTGATCAAAATATGTAAGAAGAAAAATATAAGAAGAAAATATAAGAAGCAAAATACAACAGTTTACTTATTTTCCTAAAAAATAACATGGACATTTTAAATTTACAGTTTTTTGAATTTTCTTCTTAACCACTAAGCGTATAAGCTTCAATGTACTAAATTATTTGTTTTTAAGCTCTACAAAATGGTTTAGAGAGATATTGGGAACTGTCATTTTTTGAGGGTCGAAAATGAGAAAACAGATTTTTATCCATAAACCGCAACTCACATAGTCCAATCATGCTAGTTTGCCAACTCTTTGATGTAAGATAAAATGTGAATTAAAACATCTATACATATTGTAAAAAATAAAGTAAATAAAAACATAAGTTTATTTACACCAGGATAAAACTGTTTACCAAGCTAAATCAAACTATCCTTCATCTCCTACAAAGCCAAAACGAAGGGGTGAAATGTGAAATGAAGGAGAATGAATGAACGATAAAGTGCATCCATGTTGATAAGAGAATAGATTTACGATAAAGCAGCAGAAACCTACCCTTTCCCACCTCCAGTCGACCATTACAGATAAACAAATGGGATTCGGGATAAGCAAGGCCTAACACCACAATCCCAATGATTTTTTTATCATACGAGTTTTGCATTAGTGTAGTTGGGAATTAATCAATTAACAAATAAGATAAGAGGTGTAAACTATAACCAGTTCATATTTAATTTCTTTTTAGAATTTTGCTGACATTGAAATACAATTGATCAGGCATTAATTTCCTATGATCATCTGAAGACATCATTTTGAGTGGTAATTTTGAAAGTGTTATGTCTCATATTTAATTCATACTAGCCGCTATACCCGTGCCTTGTAACGGGGTCGGTATGCAAAAGAGACTATGTTGGTAATGCCTTAAATATGATTTCATATCCACCATTTAATTTAGAAACCAATTAGGAGGTAAAAATGATCCGATTTCCAAAGAAATTTGCACAAACGTGTAAACCTATGTTTAATCGAACGAATTCGCAAAATACCATAATCGGCCTATGGGAAAGAAGTTTACGGGGTAAAAATTGGGTTTCCCCCATTTTTAACATCCAAAACAAAAGAATCTGCAATCTCTTTCCCAACTATTTTTAGAACTTAAAACAACGAATTTAGTATATTGAAGCGTTGTTAAAATCTGAAGCAAACCCTTTATATCCAGTTGTTACATACTTTAGGCATACTTTTGATTTTCTTCCAATTCAAATGGAAGAATTTTTTTTACTTTACTGTGTTATACAATATTTAACTTACTGGGTATTATAAACTATAAATCTACACATTACACCATAGTATTCCACTTTAACTTCTAAATGTTTATTGGTGTAAAAATTATACTGTACCCACAACATAGTGAACTTGTCAAATGCAGGAAGATAATATTATTTTCAACATAAAATGTGCATTTTAGAAATACATTTAGATATAAATGCTTAGAATTTTTACGAACAAAATATTTGAAAGATAAGAACTTAATCCAAAATCTGCAGGTATATTGAAAAAGGCTATTTAAATCCTTATTAACCGCACTAATTTGTAAAAAGGCAAACTGAAAATCCTCGTCTCACCACTCTCATGTGAACTACAAGGTAATTACCCACTACATGAAACACTTCAAAGCAAGTAGTTTCCAACCATGGTTGGTAAAAGTGAAGTCCTAATTAACATAAATGTTTATAAATATTTCATGGCTTTAGTTCTCAAAGTTTGCTACTGATGTACAACACACTTATGAACTTGTAAAGCGGAAACTCTTGTAAAATTATCCATGCGTTAATCGTTAAGTCAAGCAATTTAATAAATGATTTCTAGACTAATTTCATCAACCACTCTAAACTTATATATTACACATTAATTTTCACCAATTTTGTCGCTATTAAACTTAAAATATGCAAAACCTACAAGGCGTTAAATAATAATTTTGTTTAGTGAATTTTAATGTTTAAGCAATTGTTCAGGGCGAGGGTATATAGCAGCACACTTAAGAAACTAGTTTTTGGCTAATAATTGTTGATCTGATTAAGGGGAGGCAAGCTCTCTCTTTAACTCCTTTCAATAAACATTCCTCGATTGCTTCCTATCACCCTCGAAAGCATTGAGATTAAGGGGGGTCGGTTAGCTCTATCTTATTCATGTTAAATTTTCAAATTTTCATAAGTAACAACTTTATTTAAAACAACCAAAACACATAAAGAGTTTGGATGGATCATTTAAAGAGATTTTTTGTTATTCCGTGTAACGAATTATTGGAATTAAGAGGAAAACTTACTCTGTGTACGTGGAAGAGTGACTTCAATCTTGACTGGCAACTTTGGAGACACCCTCAAGGCAGTCCGCACTTGGTAGAATCTGAAACATACAGTAGTGGTTAGTTATCTGGCAACTTTGGAGACACCCTCAAGGCAGTCCGCACTTGGTAGAATCTGAAACATACAGTAGTGGTTAGTTATCTGGCAACTTTGGAGACACCCTCAAGGCAGTCCGCACTTGGTAGAATCTGAAACATACAGTAGTGGTTAGTTATCTGGCAACTTTGGAGACACCCTCAAGGCAGTCCGCACTTGGCTGAAACATACAGTAGTGGTTAGTTATCTGGCAACTTTGGAGACACCCTCAAGGCAGTCTGCACTTGGTAGAATCTGAAACATACAGTAGTGGTTAGTTATCTGGCAACTTTGGAGACACCCTCAAGGCAGTCTGCACTTGGTAGAATCTGAAACATACAGTAGTGGTTAGTTATCTGGTAACTTTGGAGACACCCTCAAGGCAGTCTGCACTTGGTAGAATCTGAAACATACAGTAGTGGTTAGTTATCTGGCAACTTTGGAGACACCCTCAAGGCAGTCCGCACTTGGTAGAATCTGAAACATACAGTAGTGGTTAGTTATCTGGCAACTTTGGAGACACCCTCAAGGCAGTCCGCACTTGGTAGAATCTGAAACATACAGTAGTGGTTAGTTATCTGGCAACTTTGGAGACACCCTCAAGGCAGTCCGCACTTGGTAGAATCTGAAACATACAGTAGTGGTTAGTTATCTGGTAACTTTGGGGACACCCTCAAGGCAGTCTGCACTTGGTAGAATCTGAAACATACAGTAGTGGTTAGTTATCTGGCAACTTTGGAGACACCCTCAAGGCAGTCCGCACTTGGTAGAATCTGAAACATACAGTAGTGGTTAGTTATCTGGTAACTTTGGGGACACCCTCAAGGCTGACCGCACTTGGTAGAATCTGAAACATACAGTAGTGGTTAGTTATCTGGCAACTTTGGACAGTCCGCACTTGGCAGAATCTGAAACATACAGTAGTGGGTTATTATCTGTGGGGTAGCTTTTAAAATATTCAACAACATTGACCAAACTGATTAAAGTAGAGGTTAGAATTTATTCACTTAGTGCAGCGACTGATCTTACTGTAAACAAAATTTGTAAAAATGCTGAATTGGTTCAGAAATTCTTTTGCCTTAAATCACAGAATATAGACACCTAAAGATACCTTATATTCTGTGCTTAAATGTATGTGGTAGTGAAATTTATCTCAATGAAAATGAATCACACACTTTAATTTCACAATTAATTGATTACCTAGAATACGTCCGTTTATGTTGGTAAACATATTTGAAATTACAGAAAATAATTGAAAACACTGAAGTAAAACCAATGTTTACATTGAGAGCGGGACAGTATTGGAATTGGTGTTTGTTTCTCTCAGAACTACTGTCATTGAAGACGGGTCTTGAGCGACGCAACGTTTACATTGTTTGAGGATTGCTTTACTAACCATCACAGATCCAACTCTCGTCAAGATTCAATATAAAATAAACTAAAGGCAATTTTTCCATATGGAAGTACACAAGCATATTTCCCTCAAACAATTCACAGCTTAGTTTGAAGGATTAAAAATTATGTACGAGGTACAACTTTGTACAATAATCGTAGAAAAGTCAGTCCATGAATTTTGAGTAAAGAAATTGCTCCAGTAAAATTTAAGTATTTACAGAATAGTTTTATTGGATAAAAGAAATTTGTTCAACATTTTTCTTTATGTCTTCACTTTTAGAAATCGTGTTCAATGTATACTGTACGAATATCAATTACACAATATCAAACATTATTAAAACTTATTTTATGTAAAACATAATATGATTTAACAATGTAAAGAGATTAATGGGTTGTAAGCTGTAATTCAATAAACGATTATCTAGGTTTTTATTGAGCTTTGGTAATTGTAGCTAAAACTAATTTCAACCAATTGATGAAAAACGTCAAATTATCGACGAGAAAAGGAAACGTTAGACTTAAATAAACCCCGTTTATAAATTATATGAAAAAATCGTAATTCGTTAGTGTCTTCCCTATAGTGACATGGAATAGTTTTTATCATATTCAATTCCACTGAGTAAGAATCAATGCATACACATTTCTATATTAATAAAATAATCATAAGAAAACCAACTTTTATTTATTTATTTATACATGCCAACGGCTAAGCCAATACATAGATGAAAAACAAGCTAAACAATACAATACTCAATAGAATACAATAAATAATCTGACAATGAATTCAAACTAGACAAAAGGAATAGTAAAATCGACATACATGTCGTTATGTATGTTTGATTACACAGCAATTTGCGTGATATGTTATTTAAGAAAAACACATTTCCTATATTAGAGCTAAACTCAAGTTAAACTACACCCTCACTGTTCTGCAAACTTTAAATTCAACGTAAAGTTACTGTTTAGCTATTTCAAACCAACCGTTACTGTAGTTTCGATCACTAGTTACCAAAAATACTCGTTACACTATACTCGTAGTTTATAACTGACATTATTAGCATGGATTAATGCTCGAATTTGGCGATCATTGAGTTCCAACCGTTACTGCAGTTTCGATCACTAGTTACCAAAAATACTCGTTACACTATACTCGTAGTTTAGAACTGACATTATTAGCATGGATTAATGCTCGAATTTGGCGATCATTGAGTTCCAACCGTTACTGTAGTTTCGATCACTAGTTACCAAAAATACTCGTTACACTATACTCATAGTTTAGAACTGACATTATTAGCATGGATTAATGCTCGAATTTGGCGATCATTGAGTTCCGACCGTTACTGCAGTTTCGATCACTAGTTACCAAAAATACTCGTTACTTCATACTCGTCGTTTAGAACTGACAGTATTAGCATGAATTAATGCTCGAATTTGGCGATCATTGAGTTCCAACCGTTACTGCAGTTTCGATCACTAGTTACGGTACCAAAAATACTTGTTACTTCATACTCGTCGTTTAGAACTGACAGTATTCGCATGAATTAATGCCTGAATCTAGCGATCATTGAGTTCAGTGCTCTCGAAGAGTAAACAAAACTCGAGTATAGAGGGAGGGGTGAGAGAGGGTTGAGAGGTAGGGGGAGGGGGGAGAGAGGGACTCGCTATGGGTCAAGTGTTCGGAGTTCGGAGCAGCGCCAATAAATATTAAACTTTTATTCGACCCACGGTCCAAATTATTCCCTACTTATGGTACCCGGCCAGATGGAACATTTTAATTCCCGATACGGGATTCCTGGAAAATGAATGTAGAGGGTGTTCAATAAATAGGTCAAACTCTTAGCATTTTGTTTGTGGTTTTTCTGTAGGTGGTGAAAACATTTTGTAGTGTTAATCTGAAAACTCGTATGATAATTTTATGAAATAATAAATGAGCATCGTAGGATATTGTGTCTACTAATTAGTAGGTACTAAGTGCGTATTCTTCGCTGAATATGAATAAGGGCGACAGTAAAGAGAGATAACTTATGTAGCTTTTTAACAGCTGTTTATTTGGCCAGGGTCAAAATTATCAAATGTTGTTGGGCCTATTTTCCAATCATAAAATGTTTCTAATTTCTCAGATCGAACCGTCGAACATCTGAATACAAGGCGAGCACTATAACTACTGTACCAACCTGCTGTTAAGTATTCAGATTTAATTAAATATGCCAGAATTCTCAAACCAAAACCACTCTCTGTTTATGCTACGCTGTATAACAGGCATAGTATTGTATTTTATACGGTATGAAAACCATGTAAATGGAAAGGGTTGAATGTATATTGAAAAAAAGTAAAACACGCTCTACAGCAACCCTGCATTCCCATTTATTATTTTTTTTATCTAAGCAGGTTCATGCCAAAATGAAAGTTAGGCATACACTTTGATTAGATCCTAATATAAATACCAATATACTTGAAATAGTTCTTAGGTTTGCTGTGACGAGGGTAGCAGATTTTGTTGGAACATCACATTAAAAAATTACAATTGAATAAATTGGTATGAATACATGCAAAAAACAAGCAATTCAAGTAAAAAAAAAATGTAACATTCAATCTGAGTTTTTAACGTAAGTAAGCTAATTTTATGACCATTATTTAGCAAACTGAATATCAAAATCTTAAAAATATACCCTACCAATATTTTATAAAATTGTTGTTACAGAAAAATTAAATAAAAGAACAAACAGATAACATATAAGTTTAAATATTTGTTGTTTTCACTATAGAGGAATATTTTTTAACTCGATGTAAGTGAAAAGAGTGCAAGTGAGTGTAGAGAGGTATCTCCGTATATGACAAGAACCAATTAGATCAGCTTGTTAATTAAAATGGCAGTATAGCTCTTGAACCCTCCTTTCACTTTAGACTCTCACTTTATCGTAAACCGCAGGAAGATCTGCGGCTTGATTTAATTGAACATCACTGATTATAATTAAATTTACTGTTCCAAAGATTCCAATAGTGTTTAAATTGGGTGTTTTTGTCTGATACTATAGTGAAAAACTCGCTTGGGAGACAATGAAAACATTAAAGACCAAAACATCTACTACAGGATACCTAGGTGTAAAAGATACCCTATATCCCAAGACAAATATTTAAAGAGAAACGGTGTTTTATTTGTTTATTCGACTACATTAAGTTTATCCCTACCAAATTATTGTAGAAATCGTCCTGTGGTTAAAAACTCGACCAAAAATATGTAATGTACAGACTTCTATAATCTCACCCACATTGAAAATAAAACATGTGATTTGAATTTCTTCAATTTGTTTCGATTTCCTGTTTATATTTCGTCCAGCATGGCAACCCATAAGGCCCATGTTAACCTTTCTAACAATATGCGGTAATTATTCCGTATAGGTGCCTCCAAACGAATTTTTAATTTTGATATCTTACTTTATAGTTTTTTACCTCCTGAATCCAAATATACCATTATTTTTCACAGCTGATGAATATTTCTCAATATATCACCGTAATAATATACAACATTACAATAAACAAGGTAGGATGGATGCCATTTAAAAGTGAAAT